GTGTCAGAGTGAATCCGTGCTATAAAAGTACCGTGTTATACGGGGGTTACCTGTATTTACTTACATCACTTGGGAGGGTACAATGTTATAATAGAAACAAACTTTAATCAAAATTATGTCGGAAACCCAAGGGAATCACTCACATTTTAATTGTTTTTTTTAAAGAGATGTGTAAACATCAAATGCCAATGATTAAATCCCTCATTGTACCAAACAATGGTTAATTTGTTACTCAATGGTATTTTTGAAAATTCAACTTTTGGATAACTTCAATTGTACTACACTGTGTGTCATATAGAAAATGTTTTTCTTATGAACATTTTGTGTAATTGTTGTATGTATTTGTTAAATATATACTATACATGATTATTATAATTCAAGGATCTCACAGCAGTCTGTTTTATGATATATTTATAATTTATTTATTAATATTAATTTGTTCTATTTTCAAACAATTTAAATGTGTGAATTGCCACTCAGTTCACCCAGATATTAAATCTGTTGTGTGCTTTTAAACTATGTAGGATGTAATGTTGAGAGAATGCATCTCAAAATATTAATATTTATCATGTAACAAGCAATTATTTATTGTGACATCGTCACAATGCCAGGCTGCAATTTTTAATCATATTTTTAATTTACTTAATTTAAAATGCATGCTCACCACCTTCAAATTAGCAGTGTCTTGCCCCCGTATATCATGCTCTTTCTTTAACAATAGAGTTGTGCCAGTTGTCTATCTAACACCTTTTGGGGGAAATTTTTGAATTGAAATAACATGACTTCCAGTTTGTTTCAGATATTCATATAGTTAGTCGAACCTCCTGCCCCTAAGGTTTCCATATCTGGTCTCGTCTTTCATATATTTACAGCAGTCACCACTAAACTTAGACCAGGCCACAGTTAACATGTCATGTCATCCAATAAATAGGTTTAAAACAAAGTAGCTTTGATTCATTGCATGAATGTTTTACATAATATAAAACAAATATACAGTAATTAATATTTATTTTTGCTAAATATCAACTTGATATGTTGCAGGTTTAACAAGATTGAGCCAGTCAAACTTGAGTCACAGGCATCAAAAAACATAGACCGCTGCATCATCCTCATCAATGAACATAAACCACTGCATGTGTAATATTTTGTTGCATCACCTTTTCAGCCAAAACACCTTCCATACGTTTCAGCATTCTGTTGACTAGGTGTTCACATTCATCTGCCGGAATTCCATTATGGAATTCCAGATAGTTAAGATGGAAGCTTTTAGTCCTTCAACTGTCCGAGGATGTGTTTTTCGCAGACGTTTCTTCATAATGTTCCATACATTCTCAATTGGTGAAAGATCTGGGCTATTGGATGGCCAGAGAAGAACTTCTATGTTCTTTTCTGCAAGCCACTGATTTGTTTTTCTGCATGTATGACATGTGGCCCCATCCTGCTGAAAAATGCAGGTTCTATTTGGATATAGCTTTGCTATGGACAGAAGTAAATATTGTTGTAGAATGTTTATGTATTGCTCTGAAGAAAGTGTTTCATCAACAAATGTCAACTGACCCATACCACTGGTGCTCATACATCCCAGACTATGAAGCTGGCAGGAAACTTCACTGAGCAGTATACCAATGGCGCGTTAGCGTGACTGGAAGATTGAATGACACATTTGCTTTTGTTTGTTGCTGATAATTCAAAGTTTGATTTATTAGACCATAGAATTTTCGTTGAGACCAGGAAAGATGTTCTTTGGCTCACTGTACCCGTTTCTTCTTTTGGTGTGCTGTTAGCAGTGGCTACACGCCATATGTAATCATATATTTCGTATATAATTGTGTTATTTTATCTTGTATATTTCCCACTTCACCTCTGTCTGTCCTATTTGTTTACCCTTCCTGGAATGTTCTCGTTTTTCTTTTCCTTGACTTGGGTATGCAGTTGGGCTAACCCGAGAAGCAATGAAAGGAATGTAGCTCGGAGGGAAGGGAGCGATCGGGAGACTTGGAGGGGAGAACTGGAGACGGAGAAAAGGAAGGAGACGGGTAGGAAGGAACGGGAGGGGAGAGAGCTAAAAGAGAGTCTCCCCGGCAAGTTTAGCGTGTGAGGGTGAAAAGAGAGAACTTGGGAAAGTGGAGAGCGACAAGACGTCTCCCCGGAAGGTTTTGCATCGTATTGTGAAAAGGAGACCTGTGGAACGTATAAGAAAAAGGAACTCAACCGAAGGGAGCCAGAAGGATCATCCCTTTGGATTAACATCTCTACGTGAAACAAGAAACGGAGCTTACCAGCCTCCGATCAATGAGAAACCGCATCCATCAAGTTTTGGGTACCCTCTTTTCTTATTCTTTACTTTCATCTTCTAAATCTTTGAGTAAGCCGGCTATATATATATATTAAGTTTAAATAGTAATAGAATTATAGTATTAATTAAGATAGTTTTAAGTGAGCGGATAAGGAACGACGCGCGTGCAATCTTTGTCAAGTTAATAAATTATGTGGAGTATCCGTGGGATTAGCATAGTGGTATCCTGAGAACCTGAATCCTAAAAAGCGAGTAAATAAAAATTTATTGTGTTTCATTCATCTAATCTGGATTGTGCGTTTTTATCTTGCTCGCTGCTCTCACATAGCAAAGGTTTTTTACATGCTGCATAGAACTGGAAATGCATTTCTTGCAGTCTCCTGCATGTTGTTGAAACAGATACATTCTTTCCAGTTGTATCATTCCATATTATAGTTACATTCAATATCTGTGTATCTGTGGCATGGCAGTTGTTTTTTTACAATTCTTTTAAAACTCCTATCATCAACTTTTGAAGTTTCTTGCTGATGTCCAGCAGCTTTGTTAGGTATAATATGGCCATGTTTAGTGTAATAAACAATAATCGGGTGCACTGTTGTCTTACTTAGCATTGGTTCTTTTCTAATAGTTCTCTCAGACATGCCACGATTTTGTGTTAGCAATGATAGCATTCCTTAAATCTTCTGAAACCACTTTTCCACTGGTCATTGTAGACAAAATGCAAAGGTTTGTAAATAAAACTAAAAAATCACCTTAGATCATTCACAGGATTACTGCAGGCTAAAGTGAGGCTAAAATAATCAATTATTTCAGAAATACTGCAATTGTAACATTATTTAAATGCAAATTATTGGCTGGTTTATGTTCATTGACATTGGTAATGCAGCGGTCTATGTTTTTGATGCCTGTGACTCAAGTTTGACTGGCTCAATCTTGTTAAACCTGAAAGATATCAAGTTAATATTTAGCAAAAATAAAAATTAATTACTGTATATTTGTTTTAAATCTATTTATTGGATGACATATTAACTGCAGTCTGGTCTAAGTTTAGTGGTGACTACTGTAACTTCATAAAATATATATTAAAAAATAAATTTAAAAGCATTTTTTAAAATTATTTTTTAGACATACTGTAACTTCATACTCAAGATTAAGGATGGACGAATGGATGACAGTAGGAATTTATAGGTCTACAATTTTTTCAAATTGCAGCCCAATAAACTTTGACTGTAATCATTTTAGTGTTTTGAATAGTAAAGTGTCTCCTACAGGCATGCCTGGCATTTTAAGATTTCCAAACAGCTACACACAAGTATTATGAACACAGGTAGTCTGCAAGCTTTTTATAGGATACTGGGGTAACAATTTTAGGGCACTAGCATTACCTGGCATGCAATCAGACCACAACTGTAATTATTTACACATATCTGTATGCAGAGTTTTGGAGTAATCAAAAAATTCTATCTGGTGAGTAAACCTTTTTATTAGTGAGTGTATGTTGCATAGAATTATTAGAGTTACCATACTATATTTACAGGTCTGTATTTAGTATAGAGAGTCCGTATTTAAAGGCTCTGTCCATGTCCATACTGTACTTAGAAAAAATAAACAATGTCTGTACTTCTTTTCATCTGATTGCACAGTTAATATCATTTAAATCTGAGAAAAGATGCTAAATTTTTTATGATTACTATTGCATTTGTTGGCTACGTGGCAACATCGTATAAGCAAATGTAATGGCTCTGTTGCTTAGAGAACGTGCACATTCATAACAGTTTCTTTAATTTGACAGTACTTGTTGTCTAAGTGGTAAAATAGTTTTCTTAAATTTAAAATGCATTCTGTGTCCCAAAATAAAATGTAAATTGAAACTTTATATTATATTCGTACATTTACTAGGTGAAAAATATGAATAAATTCCTTGTATTTTTCCTTGCTGTCTGAGTACTGTACTTTTACTGTAATACTAATCTGTCTCTATTTTGCCTTCAACTGTTATGGTAACCCTATAATTATAATCATTAATAATGTGTGTTATATAGTATTTTGATTATAATTTTGTTCTATTTTGATTGTAAGAATGTAATGTCTTGATGACATGTACTTTCTAAGCAATGGTGACTGCATATGCTTTAAGTTAAAATAAAACACGTGAGATATATGAGAGTGAAATCCATCCAGTAAACAAAGCATTGATTATAAACACACCTCACTAATCTTAATAATACTTTGCAGTTATTTTGTAACGTACCACAAACTTTTTCAGTCCATCCTGGGACCACCTTTAGGCTTTTTCTAGAATGCCGCCTGAAGAAGGTCCTAGGATAGATTAAAAATATTTCTGGTTCATTACAAAATAACTGTAAAGCATTATTAAGGTTAGTGAGGTGTATTTATGATAGTAATATACTGTTGTACTGTAAATCTTTCTTATGCTTTGCCATTTATAACATTGATATAATAGTTGGACTATTATCATTTGGTGTAGTATTCATTATACTGACTTATTATATTGATTTGTTTTTAACACTTGATTTTATGTAGTTCTTGTATAGTTTAAAAAGCAAACAATGTATATATCTTTGTTGCTACTAATTTGATGATGATTTTTATTTTTATGATAACAATTTGTTTACTGTTGGCTTTGTTTATAGATTTTATTTATAGTTGGCTTTTATTTATATGTATTAAAATCATTTTATAGATCTCAATTCGTTCAATGAGAAAATACATAGTAAGAATTCACTTGTCAGCCGAAAGTGATATAAGATGTCTCAATATGAGATATTTCAAGACCTTCTGTTTAGAAGAAACAAAATTTATTGCTGTAACTGCATATCATAATGACCAAGTAAGTTGTTAAATAACAGAATCTAATTAATTAATCTTGCTATTTAAATATTTCAAGTGTATCTCTATTTAAAACATTTAAACAAATTTTTTTCAACAAGACATTTATGACTAGATACTTGTGATGATGAAATCATTCACTTCAAACTACGTTTATATCTTTAAATTGTAGATATATTTGAGCAATAATATTTATTTGAATTTTTTTATTTTTAAATATGAGAAGAATCAAGAAATAATCATTGTTTAGTGTTCACAATAAAATATGGATAAAAATCAGTTTATTATTCGTATAACACTAATTTCATTATCTATTGCCATTTTTTTGTTTTATTGGTTGAAGGTTATCTTGGAAGAGGTCAAATTCAAATTGTGAAGCTAGTGCCACAACCACTTGAAACTCCCTATCCTTTCTCCTCTGGAGAAGTATACAGGATATCTTATTTACTACAGAGCAATGAGCTAGAATATACTACATAGAGTGGCTGTGACCTTAGATAAGGTGCTCTTTATGGCAACAATAGGTACTATTGACCACCATTTTACTTTAAGTCAAAACATTGAAGTCTATACCACATGTTGGGCAGGATTACTACTATAAAATCTATTTTTCTCATCTAAATCTAGTTTTTGTTTGCCCTTAGATTTGAGATTTAGGCAATTAAATAAGTGACATAAATCTATATTGTTTCATCTCGAATTTAGCTGTTTTCTAGATTTTATTTAATCATTATAAAGAAGGTAAGTTCAGAGTTTAAAGTGGTAAATGTAGTATTTAACCCTCAATATGACTATTTTTATAATTTAAGTATGAGTCAGGTTTTGAAGGTATTTACTCTCAGTCATATTATAAAAGAGTTTCTTCTCTTGAAAATTGTTGAAACTAACATTTCAAATACTTGTTGTAGAGATTACAAAGACTTATCACACTGCTACTGGTCACATCAAAATGATACTTCTGTCATCAGAATGCAGCTTTATTACTGGTATGCATTTTGGTACACAAGACTCTCATCAGCCATACATAAAAATATATAGATCTCCATAACAAAAAATACCATGTACAGTAAATGTCTTGGATGAAATCAAAAATCAGAGCTGATAAATCTGAACAAATAATTCTTATGAAACAATCTACCTACTATGCTTGCTGGTATTTAGGATTATATACAACAAATGCAATGTTTTAGGATTTTGGTTGGGTTTCTACTTAAAGTATTGTACAATCCTGTGCATTACATACTTCTAGCACTCCACTTTGTTAGCCAATATCCTTCATGCTCAACAAGCCATCATTCTAGCACCTGCTTTGCCTTTGTGAAAACCCATGTACCCATCACACAGTTGCGCCTAATTGTGGATAAGGTTTATCACCAGCCATATGCATAGAGAAAATTATCAACAATTACATTTCAGAATGTCTTTCTTCATATCCTTATATGATCACAAGTGCTCAACAAATCATCTGTCAACTTACAGAATGCAACTCAAAGACCAGGGTGTTTACCATGTGAGACTTTGTCATTGTACCCATCAGTTAAAATTGAACTATACTTTTGTTTCTTAAGGGATTTTTTGATGTCTAACATTGAGAATGAATCCATTTACTACTCCAACCTATTAGTGCTGATGGATGTTTTATGCTATACTTCATTTTTCACTTTTGAAGGTGACACTTTCTTACAAGCCAGATGTTGTATAATGGGAAGGCCCCCTTTCAGGAACTTTGTACATTAGTCATCTGCAAGCTGGTGACCATCCTCCCTAAGTGTCAAGATGATATGACTATATATTTATGATGCATTGATATATTTATTTTATGACACCAATAGCTCGACATATAACAATTATTGAAGGATTTTAACAGTAACCCCAATGGATTATATCTCAATCTAGAACAATACAATCACAGGCATGTACTTCTTGAACTTAGACATCCAGTTGATTAATGGATGCATAATCACAGGAGTTTACAGGAAACCTTGATATCACCCCATCTTCATACTGTCACACTTGCATGATCCTGTTTTATATAAATTAGCTGCCTTTAACTCCATGGTTCATAGATCATACAAGTATGGTATGTATTTATTAGATCTGTGACAAAGAGAATGGAAATTTTGCATTATCACAAACCAGGCTGTCTGACATGGATTCAACAAGACAACCATGAAGGGACTCCTCAAACACCATGCTATGCACAGGCAGAAAACTTCTTGCAACCAACCCATACAAGGTGGTCACAATGCAATATTCGCTCCTCTATACAGATAGTTAACCATAACTGTTGGAATCAACGATCGCGATGTGCTGTAACGTTCTTATGACGTAATAAAAGGTTGGTGGCGCTCCTGACCCCTCGGGCAAGGTGACCTAGTTTCACTCTCCCCTTTTCGAGCGCTGACCTTCCGGGAGTGACGACTGTGTAATCTTTTGTGCACTCTTTGTTCTTTGTTATATAACTAGTTACGCGAGTCTGACTTGATTTTACTAATCTCCGAAAAGCTACATCTAGTCTAACAATAACTGTATTAACCTGATCTTTAAAATGAGTCCCACTATATTTAACCTTCTTAGAAATACAGTAGAGCGTTGATTATCTGAACCAATTGGGGACTGGTGTTGTTCGGAAGATCGATGTTTCGGATAACTGATTATGTACGAAAAAATNCAGCAATGAGTTGCTTAACTTTTCAGGCAGCATTTAAAACTGAGTGTGTGGCACCATCTGTTATGATATTTTATTATTAAAAATGTTTTATATTTTTAATCATTATACAATGGCAAAAAGCTTAATTTTGAGGGTAGGGATGTGTTTTATAAAAAATTGTAAGTACTAATAACAAGTAAAATTGTTATAAGTCCAACCCTACTCAAGATATGACACATGACCCCTTTTATCTCCCCACCTCCTTGACTTTTAACAACCAAATTTTAATAGCATCAATTCCCTTAATACATAAACTTCCCTGCAAAATTTCAGGAATTTTTGACTAAAAGTACAGGAGTTATTAAGTTTCAAACCAGATGAACAAAATCCTGCCCCACACACACTAACATCGATACATACAGAAATTACCCTCAAATGCTTTTTGCATTTCTGGGCATTTCAAGGACAAATCCAAAAATGTAAAAATCTTTAGGAGCCATTTTTTTGACCAATCATCATACTTTCCCTCTGTTATATATAACAGAGCTGGGAAAGTAATATAGTAGCTTTTGAAACTTGTTTCAAAATATTTAAATTTTATTTCTAGAAGCTATATCTTATTATTACATGTATTAACTTTTTATACTTATTTTTGTTACATAGTCCAAGCTAGTCCCAAATGAAATTTATATAGATTCATATTAAAAAAATTCCTTCCACTTTCGGAGATTCATATTAGTCCATGTAATTAAAGCTTCTTCAAAAACTTCAGACACTAAGGCGTTAAACACAATTAATATATTTTATTCTTGCGAGCGCTTTCGACGTAAATATGCACGTCGTCCTCAGGCAAATCAAACGAATAGAGAATTCGAATCATACATTTGAATTTGAACATTAACGATATTAGCCGTTTTTTAATTATAAATAAGAATTAAATTTTAGAATTAAAACATTTAAAAATATTTAAAATTGGCACGCATGCGTTTTAAATTTCGATAAGAATGGCTATTAATTATTTTATAAACGCGCAAAACACTGGCGCGCATGCACCTTAACATGNGAGCTAGAATATACTACATAGAGTGGCTGTGACCTTAGATAAGGTGCTCTTTATGGCAACAATAGGTACTATTGACCACCATTTTACTTTAAGTCAAAACATTGAAGTCTATACCACATGTTGGGCAGGATTACTACTATAAAATCTATTTTTCTCATCTAAATCTAGTTTTTGTTTGCCCTTAGATTTGAGATTTAGGCAATTAAATAAGTGACATAAATCTATATTGTTTCATCTCGAATTTAGCTGTTTTCTAGATTTTATTTAATCATTATAAAGAAGGTAAGTTCAGAGTTTAAAGTGGTAAATGTAGTATTTAACCCTCAATATGACTATTTTTATAATTTAAGTATGAGTCAGGTTTTGAAGGTATTTACTCTCAGTCATATTATAAAAGAGTTTCTTCTCTTGAAAATTGTTGAAACTAACATTTCAAATACTTGTTGTAGAGATTACAAAGACTTATCACACTGCTACTGGTCACATCAAAATGATACTTCTGTCATCAGAATGCAGCTTTATTACTGGTATGCATTTTGGTACACAAGACTCTCATCAGCCATACATAAAAATATATAGATCTCCATAACAAAAAATACCATGTACAGTAAATGTCTTGGATGAAATCAAAAATCAGAGCTGATAAATCTGAACAAATAATTCTTATGAAACAATCTACCTACTATGCTTGCTGGTATTTAGGATTATATACAACAAATGCAATGTTTTAGGATTTTGGTTGGGTTTCTACTTAAAGTATTGTACAATCCTGTGCATTACATACTTCTAGCACTCCACTTTGTTAGCCAATATCCTTCATGCTCAACAAGCCATCATTCTAGCACCTGCTTTGCCTTTGTGAAAACCCATGTACCCATCACACAGTTGCGCCTAATTGTGGATAAGGTTTATCACCAGCCATATGCATAGAGAAAATTATCAACAATTACATTTCAGAATGTCTTTCTTCATATCCTTATATGATCACAAGTGCTCAACAAATCATCTGTCAACTTACAGAATGCAACTCAAAGACCAGGGTGTTTACCATGTGAGACTTTGTCATTGTACCCATCAGTTAAAATTGAACTATACTTTTGTTTCTTAAGGGATTTTTTGATGTCTAACATTGAGAATGAATCCATTTACTACTCCAACCTATTAGTGCTGATGGATGTTTTATGCTATACTTCATTTTTCACTTTTGAAGGTGACACTTTCTTACAAGCCAGATGTTGTATAATGGGAAGGCCCCCTTTCAGGAACTTTGTACATTAGTCATCTGCAAGCTGGTGACCATCCTCCCTAAGTGTCAAGATGATATGACTATATATTTATGATGCATTGATATATTTATTTTATGACACCAATAGCTTGACATATAACAATTATTGAAGGATTTTAACAGTAACCCCAATGGATTATATCTCAATCTAGAACAATACAATCACAGGCATGTACTTCTTGAACTTAGACATCCAGTTGATTAATGGATGCATAATCACAGGAGTTTACAGGAAACCTTGATATCACCCCATCTTCATACTGTCACACTTGCATGATCCTGTTTTATATAAATTAGCTGCCTTTAACTCCATGGTTCATAGATCATACAAGTATGGTATGTATTTATTAGATCTGTGACAAAGAGAATGGAAATTTTGCATTATCACAAACCAGGCTGTCTGACATGGATTCAACAAGACAACCATGAAGGGACTCCTCAAACACCATGCTATGCACAGGCAGAAAACTTCTTGCAACCAACCCATACAAGGTGGTCACAATGCAATATTCGCTCCTCTATACAGATAGTTAACCATAACTGTTGGAATCAACGATCGCGATGTGCTGTAACGTTCTTATGACGTAATAAAAGGTTGGTGGCGCTCCTGACCCCTCGGGCAAGGTGACCTAGTTTCACTCTCCCCTTTTCGAGCGCTGACCTTCCGGGAGTGACGACTGTGTAATCTTTTGTGCACTCTTTGTTCTTTGTTATATAACTAGTTACGCGAGTCTGACTTGATTTTACTAATCTCCGAAAAGCTACATCTAGTCTAACAATAACTGTATTAACCTGATCTTTAAAATGAGTCCCACTATATTTAACCTTCTTAGAAATACAGTAGAGCGTTGATTATCTGAACCAATTGGGGACTGGTGTTGTTCGGAAGATCGATGTTTCGGATAACTGATTATGTACGAAAAAATATATTAATTTATCCAATCTTAACATTTTTCTCCGTTGCATGTCGCTTTGCGTTGAATTTTCGTTGATGTTAAGCCTGACGAAGACTATTGTATGGTTAAAAATTATTTTTTTATTTTGTACGAACAAAATAAATATATTGAAAAATATAAAAACAATAAAAAATTATACTTCAGAAGTTAATTTAGTATCAAAAACGCAAAATATTTGAGTAGCCCAAGATATAGCCAAAGATTGTAGTGCCACAGCACTGGCAAAAATTTAAATTTGTCGACTGGAATTGTTTCGGATGATTGACTTTCGTATAATCGACGCTCTATTGTACCAAAGAGCTGCCAATTTGGCAACACTCACTGGGGGTATTCAATTCCCTTAAGACCATAGATCTAACAGAGTTCAAATACATGGGAGCCACATGTCAACATATTGCCATCTGCCTCAAATCCACTTCCCTATCAGTAGGCCTATAGGCCAGAGACTTGGATGTGAAAGTCCATTTTGACCAGACTAAAATTCTACACAGAACAGCAGATAGAACACAGCTCAGATATCTTGAGTTGATGGAAATTTACAAGGCAGCCAGCCTTAAGAAAAAAGTTCATCAAATATAAGGAAGATAACACCATCCTGAATCCACTGAAAATAAATATATCCACCTAATGTAAATCTTGAATTCCCACAGGATTATATATATAATGTATTCACCCAACAGCACAGGTGGTGTATCTTCCAACAACAGTGGCAACACAAAGGATCCAAATTGGTTGAAAGCTGTATGATTCCATATTAGAACTCCAGCCTATAGATAGACATTCTTTAAAAATGGATGAAAACATTTGAATATTTTTAAAGTATTTGTATTGCTGGTATGGTTTGATTATTTTGTTAAGAGTTTTATCAGTATTAACCAGTAAACTGTTGTTTTCTCATAAGGAATTTTTTATTGTAAGTTTTTTTCTAGCTAATTCACTTTTTATATAATATTTATTATATATCAGTGGTCTAGAGCAGTGATTCTCAAATGGTGCACCACAAGTGCTGGCTAAATATCTATGAATATTATGACAGTATATTTTAAAAATGAGAAGAAACCAATTTGTACAGAGACTTACTACAACCATGATAAACTAATAACTAGGTCTAAAGAATGGATAAGAATGAGTTTGGGTAGGATTTATAAAGAGGTATTTATTCAAGATTTGAAGATAGATGAAATAAAATACCAATTTGGCTATTAATGAAGACTTATCACACCACAATAAAAAATGTGACCAAATTAGAACTCCTTTATTCTTTTAATTAAACTCCAAAACGTAGTTTTCTGATCTTTTGATCCTTCTTCAGTTGTAGCATATAATTTTTATAAACTATTAAATTCATAAATGTTGAAAGTAAATTACAATGTTGCATATACAGTCAACCCCCCATAACACGGGTTCCTATAGTTCGGATTCCTATATCACAGCAAAAAAATTGTGATAGTATTCGTACAAACATGCTAAAAAAAACTCCTATAATTCGGTAAAACGTCATCGTCGACTTGTGTCGGCAATGACGTTTTACTGAACAATCACCGATTGCACAAACTGTTGAGTTTAAATGAGCAGCGGACCTACCAAAAACCATTTATCAATACTATTTAACGTCCATAAAAATTATATTTATATTAATGATGTCTCTAAAGTTCAGAGAATTTTTCACACAAAAAATAATTTATCAGGAAGCACGCGAGCGCCATTCGATGACAATCTCCATGATGTAAACAAGCTTAAGCAATGGTGTAGTCAAATGGTGCACACTCGGTTAGTAATCCTACAATTTTTTGTTTATAGCATAGTTTATATGGATTATTCCCAAAAAATTATACGTNTCCTTCAATTTAGAGGAGTTTATAATAAAAAAGCTAAGCTTATATTATCTTATAATACAATAATAAAAGTTAATATATGAAAGTAAAGATATTATTTTTACTACATTTGTAATTATAGTACAGAAAATACTTGTAGAATATAATCATTGTCTTTATATCAATATATAACATGTACAACTGTAGCTACGATAGTACCATCGCCATAAAAACTTCACTAGCCAGACCTCCTCCACAATCCAGACACATATGCAAATAGGTCACGGGATTAAAAGTTTTTATGGCGAAGGTTTTTACACTAGTGGAGTCTCGGCCTTACTGCTGACAGTGTGTTTTCGAAGATACTACAATTAGATAAATTACAATATTATATACATTTTCAGACTATAAATAATACAAAATTAGTTACAATACTAGTTCAAAAACAAGCGATCTTTTGTATTCATTTTCCACTTTTTCTTTATACTTAAAATACTGATTACTTAATCTTTTATTTTTAAAGAAACCATAAGTAAGTATTTTTTGTAATTTTTAAGTATTAACCAGTGCCTTAAACATTGTTTTGAATTTATTACATAAATTATATGCTGGATGAATTACCTTTAATTTATAATTAAAATGTATAACTTGGAGTTTTATTAATTATAAATACTTTTATTTTAACATGTCCTTTTAATATCAGTCAATAAAATTACCACTAATTGTAGTCTTATTATTTAAAACTTACTTTTAAAGATGTGTTAAAATTTCAGAAAATAGGATTTAAATAAATTATTGTTTTCCATAATAGGTAACACAGTTAAAAATAAGTTATAATCCTTTTGCAAAAGGTTTTAGAGAAGCAGCATTCAAAAGGTTTGTTATCAATTTTATTTTTCTACATATTGATAATTTGATTTGAATAAATTCAACATAATTTTAAATTTTCATGATAAATATGTATATTCAAAGGCCTTGTTGTTGTTTTCAATATTACATTGTTAAACAGTTAATACCAAAATTTTGTTTTGAGTCATAAGATTTCTATTTGTATTGCTAGTGTAAGTTTGCCGACTTTTAGGGGAGGATCGTTAAGTCCCCTGTCAGGATGATCTAGGGTCGTTCGCGTGTGGGTGTGGTGGAGGAGACACAGATGACAAGAATATCACAAAAACTCATTTATTTTAATCATAAAATAACTTACACTATGAAACAAAAATGTTCTTAAACACAATCGGCTATTCAGAAGTCCTGAGCGTCGATGTTTCATGGTTCGTCGATCGAAGGTGGCCAAGGGGAAGTGGTGTTAATCAGTTTTTAAGGCAGGTGGGGAGACAGTTGATGTAGCAGAAAAAGAACCCTCAGAAAAGACAGGAAAATGTTCCTTTGTGCGTTGACACACGGCGTCTTTGTGATTTGGAACTTCACTAACTGAGTTCAGTTTCACAGTTTATAAAAAGTAAATCTGTCCTTGAAGATTGGGGATTATATCAATTGCCATTCTCTGATTTGTTTATTCTGATTGGCTCCGTGTCCCTTTTTCCCGCTCCCCGATTGGTCCCTCGACTGTCCCTAAGCGAGACGACTCCTGTTTGAGTCACGAGAAAAATCCGCTTCTAAGAATCTACTTAACACCCACCGTTAACTCTGGATAAAAAGTGCTGATGGAACTTGCGCTCATATTTTTCCCCCATTGTTGTCTAGTCTGTGGCGTTTTTGAAATTTAATGATTTGATGCGATGTCCCTTTTCATCATTAACCTTTCCCCTTTCCAAAATTTCTAGGCCTGTGTTCTAATTATTTGTATACGAGCACCTTGTCAAAGGTCCATCTCTATTGGAGAACGTTCATTTACAATTATTAATCATTTATAATTATTGCGTTCTGTTTACATCAATAGTGATTTTTTCTCGTCATGGTTTCATATGAGTAGCACAACTAATCCGATCTTTGATTGGTTTTTAACAATGGACGATTTTTCTAGTTTCATTTTACCAGATTACTATAATAAATGTTTAATTTCAACCCATTTTATTTTTTTGGAACCTAACACTAGCAGTCACATTGATTAATGACTAGGTGGCATTAATTATTATTTTGTTTATTAAAATCTCTTAAAATCAGAGAAATTCTTAAAATCTGTAAACAAAATGAGATACATAGATCAATGAGCAATTATATATTATAACATCATCACAATGACATGCCAAGCTGCAATNTTACATGTGTTGAAGAAAGAAAGTGTCCTCCAACACTCTCCTGATCAGCAATTACTGCATAAGATGGATTAGAAAAACAAGTTTCCTTCCTTTTTCCTTTCTATTACCCTACTTAGAATTATCTCCAAACCAAAGCCAAGCTGCAATTTTTAATTATATTTTTTATTTATTTAATGTAAAATATATGCTTACCACCTCAAATTAGTATTGTAGTGCCTTGCCTCATACATCAAAACTTTAACAATAGAATTGTGCCTGTCATTAAGTATTACACTGAGACTAGCCACCTCTGAATATTATCTTTATAGTATCTATGAATAATGACGTAAAAGTAACATTTATTTTACTGAAATATATTCTAGTAATACACTTTTAAATTGTGATGTGCATGCAAAATTACAGTTAACCACAAAGATAGACAAGATACAAAAACAATGAGATGATATATTTCCTATTTCGCGTTTTGATACAGATTCTTATTAGGGATTCCAATGTCATGGTACAATACGATGGTGTACAAATTTACGGCACAAACAATAGTTTGGTATGTCCACTACACATAGAAGGGTCCCGATTGTGACAATATGATCAATCCCAAACCTTAAAACTAAACTTAAATACTAACTTATTACTAATAACAGAAAAGGATAGATGTAAAAGGATATAAGAAAGAATATATAGTAGAAGAAGGAATACCTGGGGTTTTTCAGCATATTACTCTCTGCCTATTTGTTGGGTGGGATGCCACACGTTGTTCCTATATAAATGGTCCATTGTCTTATTCTTCAATAAAATCCTGTCCGTGTCTTCTTTTCTTTTGCTTAGTATTTTCTTTCCACTGCCTCATCGATACTACTTTAAGACAGGATCCTCTTTCTAAACTTCTTTCTGATATCTCCAGTTGTTCTAACGCAACTCGGAGTGTTCTACACCATGTCCGTATGCATTCCCGTCCTAGCAAAGAATGTCCTGCCTGTTGTCTTTTTTGTCCTCAGGGTCCTGTTTTCTCCTTTGTTCCCCTTATTTCTCAGAACTGGCCATCCCACCCAAGGGAAAAGGATTAGATAAGAAAGTTCTAGAAGAAAATAGAACAATAGAACAAAGGGTAGAAAGGAAAAAACTAAACTAAACTTAATTATTTACAAAAAATATGGCATACAGCCACAAAATCTTTATCAGTTAACTTAATAATAAAATTTTATTATAAGCTAATCTGAGAATGTGTTTTGCACTCATTAAATCTTTTTTATCGATGATTTAATACATTGTAATGTAACTGTTGTATTTAACAGTCAGTGTGAAAAACTTGCCTTTGGTGTTATTTTTACAGGAGGAATTAGTGTCCAATTTTGCAGACATGACTTTCAGTTTGTAGTTTTTAATACTTGGTACAGTCAAGAGTGAAAAGTTCATACCTGCTGGTAAGAATTACAAAGAAAAGTATCACATTGAAAACAAAATTAGAAGTTTTACAAAAATTTGATTAGAGTGAAAGCTGTGGATATAGGAATTGCTCTTGGTTTTGCTCCTTTAACTTTGAGAAATTATTCAAAATTGTGATGACATAACTAGCTGATGAACAGTTTAACAGCTACAGGTGCTAAATTGTTGATACAAAGTGTTCTGATGATGAAAATGGAATCTATGATATCTGTATGGGTACAGAATCAAGTTTTGCACTGTTGTCATTAAATAAAATAATATAGGCAAAGATAAAAAATTTGATGATCTTAAATTAACTTGCAATGATAGTACAGGTTCTAGTGCTATCAATAAGAAACATTTTGAAGCCAGCTATGGTTGGTTTGAAAGATTCAAGATTGCACAAATCTACAAAGCATTTCATTAAACACTCAAAGCAGCCAGTGTAGATACTGCAGCTGCAGAATGTTTCTGCAAAGTGCTAAGAATGATAATTAGTGAAGGACAGTTAAGGTGCCAGCCTACTGCTCCAGGAACCTAGGATTGAATCTGGATATTATTCACAGGTAGTCTGTCCCAAATATGTCAGGCCTATCCCTCACCACCTAGCCACACTCTTGGATATGGTTTAAAAAACTGTCTTACTGTTGTTAGTGCCCAGAGAGAAGAGAGTTAAAAAGTAATTAATGAATGTGGTTAGACAGTAAAAGAAATTCTTGTATATGAAATATCTCTTTAATCCAAAACTTGTTCAGTAGATTGCCTCACAGTTGTGTTTGATAAAATTATTATGAAAGGTATTTTATCACATTTTATGATATGTAAACAGTTATGTCATATAAAAATTCCTCTTTCCACGATATCTAGATAATATGCTCCACTTATATCATTGTTTTTCCATATAGCACTGAAGAGAGGTTGTAAATATAAATCAACCCGAAATGCATTTAAATGCTGTGAGGCAGTCTACTGAACAAGTTTTGGATTAAAGAGACGTTTCATATACAAGAACCAATAGACAGCAACCATATTATAGTGTACTAAAAGAAGTGTTTATTGCAGACAAGAGTGCCTTATTTTGAAAACATCTACCAACTAAGGATAAAATTAACATTCCAAAATAAATATCTGTATTAGGATTTAAGACTGTAAACATAGACAAACTCTAGTTTTAGGTAGGAATGCAAATCGAGATTTTAAATTTAATGTTCTCTTATCTGTAATTCAGAAAATCTCAATGTTATGAAATGATAACAATCCACGAAAAACCTTTTTTTACGAGTGTTATGTCACTATTAAATTCCACAAGTACTTTCGACCTCCACCGAGGTCTGCTTCAGGTGGTGTCCCACGAAAAACCTTTGTAACGAGTGTTATGTCACTATTAAATTCCACAAGTACTTTCGACCTCCACCGAGGTCTGCTTCAGGTGGTGACTGGCCGTGTTTCGACTGGACCGTCGTAACGATGTTGCCAACGAAGTAAATAAATAAATGTGCGCGTCGGGTTTCACCCCTCCGACCGCCATTGCTCGAACTCCTCGAATAAATACTTCCACGCCTGTGTAAGTGTTTCCCCATCCCTGTAGTTGATGCAGTTGCCCCCCATGATAGCTTTGTGAATCTCCCAGGCCTCCAGGTGATGGATGTGATCCGCACGGAATGCATGTCTGATAAGTTTGGTGTTCCGGAAGTCTGCCCTATCCGGAAGTCAAACTTATCAGACACGCGTTCCGCGCGGATCACATCCGTCACCTGGAGGCCTGGGAGATTCACAAAGCTATCATGGGGAGCAACTGCATCAACTACAGGGATGGGGAAACACTTGCACAGGCGTGGAAGTATTTATTCGAGGAGTTCGAGCAATGGCGGTCGGAGGGGTGAAACCCGACGCGCACATTTATTTATTTACTTCGTTGGCAACATCGTTACGACGGTCCAGTCGAAACACGACCAGTCACCACCTGAAGCAGACCTCGGTGGAGGTCGAAAGTACTTGTGGAATTTAATAGTGACATAACACTCGTTACAAAGGTTTTTCGTGGGACACCACCTGAAGCAGACCTCGGTGGAGGTCGAAAGTACTTGTGGAATTTAATAGTGACATAACACTCGTAAAAAAAGGTTTTTCGTGGATTGTTATTATTCAACGCAGTGTTAAGTTGTTGGAAGTCGTTTATCTTAGTTATGAAATGATATTCAAAAGTTAGCCTTCCTGTCTACTGGTGAACAAAAATGCCTAAATACCAGGTATATTTAATGGCTGAGCTGTGAGTTATTGCTATTCCTAAAATGAAATCCTTTTGTGTTAAATAGAATTTAGACTTTAAGACATTAGTATTGTTAGCTAATGCTCTTAGTTACCCAGTTTGTCATAATGACTTATCAGAAAATGTAAATTTTACTTTTTATCATCTAACATTACATCACAAAAATCTTGCGACTAGATTAAGGAATCACAGATTTTATGTGTTTATTATATTAGACAAACATTTCAACAGGTCCTACTAACGGAGAAAATAAAACTACCATAAGTTGACAAATTGCTTATGATTTGACAAGAAATAGCTAACATATCTATACAATCTGACTCAAGAATTTTATGAAAATGGGATAGATGAATTCTTATCTTATATATTGTGAAAATTAGTAATGAATTAACACAGCTAGATTACAAACATCTTCCAAGGAATGCACTTTTTAAAGATACTCTTACTCAACTAACTTTAACAGTAAAACAATATACAGAAGTTCTGTGAAGACATTGACATTTTTACAAACATTGATTCTGACAGAAAAGTTCAAAGGTTGCATTGCCTGTATAGCATGATATCAGTTTCTATAATGAAATTTACTTGGATGGGGAGATACATGTTGCAATTTTTTTTTTTTTTCTTTTCTAAAAACATGTATCCCAATATCTGGTGTGGTAGCTGATGAATACGTAGATTTAGTATATGTCTCTTTAATCCAAATTAGTAAAAACGGCAGACTCTCTCTCAGCTTTTAGGTTAGGTACTCCTTTATTGCAAATCACAAATGCATTTCGGGCCTATATGAGCCACTCTTCAGTGTAAATGCTCAGAAGACAGAGTAATGCTTTTCTAATTGTATGACACTCACAATGATGTTTTATATAATCCAAAAAAAAAAAAAAAAAACACATGAATGTGTATTGAATGACACTATTACACAGGTACAATTAAAAACCTGTAAGGTATTTAAAACCTTATCGTGTACTTTAAGACGTTATCAGAATACATCATGTTTCTATTACAGTTTATCATATTTGTTAACGTTATTGTTGTAACACATGTATCAATTGAACATTTAGAGACAGTTCTCAGAGGAATTGAGGAACTAATTTGTTTGTTCAAGTTAAAAACTTGTTTAAGTTCATGAAAGTTGTTATCTTGAGTTTATATGTTAAAAAATAATTTTTTTCAATTTATTTTGACACTTTTCCCCCACAATAAATTAATCTTTTTTTATTTTTCTTTTTTGGAGGTTGAGAAATAAAACTTTCATGCATTAGAATTTGAATTGCATGTAGATAAAAATAGTTGGTAACTCCAATTATTCCAACTACTTTAACCTACATAGTATGCAATTTAGTCTTCTTTCCAAATATCTATTTTTTATTAAATGTATTTTAATTTATGATACTAATATATTTAGATTATATTAAAATTATATTACGTTTAAAAATTTACATTATTAATTGTAAATTTTGGAAAAACTTAAACTTTATATACACTGACAATTTCAGAGGTGAATCAGATGGTGATGTTTACGAAGAAGCTGAAAGATCTATAGGTAATTATCAATTTTAAGAATATTTACGTAAATTTTAAAGTCCCAAGGATTAATTTACTTTCAAATAATAATGTTCATACAAATAATTTTGGGTCAGTTTAAAGTTTTTATCCTTTTTTTTTTAACATTCCAACCAGATTTAACAATATTAATTAAATTCTTATTCAGCATCTTTAGTTACATCTTGAGTTAGCAAATCCAGAGTTATAAGTTAACTTTAAATTATATCTAGTTATCTTGTGCCCAAAATTTTTGGAATTTAATTTTATCATTTGGAATGTTTAAGATGGAACTTCAGTTCACAATATGATAAAATTATAGCTTTACTCACTCTTTCCAACAGATAATTTCAGTCATGCACAAATTTTTTTTATTTTCTTGAAGTTTTTCTAGAGTTTTTACTATTGTAATAAATTTTATTTATTAGCTTGTAAGTTGATAAAGTTAACTGGCATTGTAACAGTTTTTATAATAATTTTTTTGTCGCATGATTTACAAAACAAAAATGCATCATGTTATAGTAGATTGAAACTTATCACTTTTGAAAGGAAACATTTTTAAAATTAGTATGAAAACCAATATTATAGCATGGCATTGCCTTTTCCTATCAACCCTATTTGCAATGAGAGCTCTAACTTAGTATTATTGAATAAATATGAATGGATTTGTCTCAGTTAGAAAATTTTTCAGGATCTGTGAATTAGTAAATGTATAGTTTTGCTTCACAGACATTTTTATTAAACATGAATTTGAAATTGTTATTGTGTTTACACTTCTGTACATGGTGTAAGATTGAGAGTTACACATTTTGTAAGGTTATAAGTAAACTAAGGTAAGAACTAATAATAATGTAAGATTTAATTTCAATATACAGAAATTAAGTAACATAAGGATCAATAAGTAATACAATAACTTCCCGGCAATTCTATCCGTTTCTTACAAAAATTAAGTCGCAGACACACGTGAATTACAATCAAGACATGAAATACAAATACCGTACAAAAGTTACTAAGATCGAAGTCTTCAACGAGTTTCTTTCTCCCTTTGTTCTCGTTGTCCCGATCAGTCCTCGTTCCTTTGTTTTCTGTATACCTCGTACTTCCGTCGATCCACTCTTGAGTCTGTCCTTTCTTCGTCTCCCCTTTTTCGCCGCTCCTGTTCCCTATTTATACTCACCTCTCTCCCCCTGCTGGGCTAATTGCCCCCTTCGGGTCAAACGGACGGTGTACCTGTTTGGCTTACCTTAAACAAAGGCCATTGTCTGATATAGGCACAATATGGCGAACGATCGCCACAATAAAAGTAGCATACACATTTAATTTAAAGACTGTCTCTAAGTTGTAAAAACTGGTACAGTTCTATCTTTACTCCTTTTTTCACAAAATTATAAAATCTCCATTCTCCTCCTGTTGCATAGACAATATCTAAATGATATTCAATTTCCTGCCATGTGTTCTACAACATCTGTAGTCTAACAGAAGTAACAGTGTTCTGTATGTACTGTACATACAAAGTTCTTGAGGTTTAGTTATCAGTATAAACCTTGTTTTTCATATATCTCTTCCAGATGAAGAAGTCCAGAGACATAATGTCAGAATCACTGGACCATGGATATAAGGCTGTAACGATTGCATTATTTCATCATCATCTACAGTATTAACTTTTATATTAAACTTGATACATTTCATGGTTAATACAATTAGACCATAAAAAAGAAAATATATTCTAAAATTAATTCCTTAAACATTTAGATTTATAGTACTTTGATTATTAAATTTAGATGTCTGGTTTTAAAATGTTAAATTATTTTCCTTTCAGTTAAAGTAGAAGCTGGCAGTAGTACGGATAATGAAACTGTTCCACAAACAGCAGTCCAGATGCCTGAATTTGAAAACAGGCGAGAAATTTCTGCTGCCGAAGCGTATTCTCGGTATCAGGCACAGCAGGAGCAGGAGAATCGAAGGGTGTCGTTTTTTCGACATCCAATTCGATGGTATGCTAATATGTTTGATGAAGATTTGCTTTACTTTCCTTTATTTGCACATCCATCATTTCTGTCTCCAGTTTTCTATCCAAATCACGGCATACCGGGTGCCTTTGCTTTTCCACATCAGAATTTGAATAATCACTACAACGCAGATTATAACAACAGGGATTATCGTTCTCAAAACAGAGGAGGCACTTAATGAAATCAGTTTTTACAAAGCATCAAACTTATAATCAACTTTTTACTACGAATAAAACTCTGTGATTTTTATATAAATGTTTTGACAAATATTTTACATATTTATAAAATTGTTACTACTAAATAAAACAAGTTTAATATTAAGCATTGTCTTAATTCAAATTTGATACACCAGATACACCAGAATTGATAACAGTTCAAGTGATATATAGATAGGATTGCAGATGTCCCAGTTTTTGGATGATATCCCAACTTGGTTTGTAATTTTGTCTTGATTGGAGGAAAAGTATCAAAAATTTATGAAAATTAATTGGAAAGAGGAGCAACTTTCAGAAGCCCCCTAAGGTAAGAAAGGTGGCTGTAGTGTGACCTGACCTTGATGTCCAGTGCTAATGCAGCAGCTGAACTACTGTCAGTTCCCTCTTCCTACTCTAATACATTCCTATCCCCTTTCACTCCACATAGTATCCTGTCTGCTCTAATTTTACATGTCAAATTAGAGCAGACAGGATACTATGTGCTTTGAGTCGTGATATGGCTAACTATTCATTATGCATGCTTATTGTTTTCTCATCATAATTAGTGGATCTTAGGTTACATGAAATTTAAGTACTTGGTGTAATATGTATTGTATTAAAATGTAAAATATTAGTGAGTCCGCCAGGTGGCGATCGTTGTGATGCATCACGGGAACGGCACCTGAGCGCTCACTTTGGTTGGAACCTTTTCACAATAAACATAACATGGCGCAGTCGACAAACGCTTAGAGAAAGACGAAAGATTCTCCCGTACTAGATTCAACATGTCCACGTTTCAAAATCTTCCTCCTCCAAAACCGATGTTGGNGGTCGAAACACGGCCAGTCACCACCTGAAGCAGACCTCGGTGGAGGTCGAAAGTACTTGTGGAATTTAATAGTGACATAACACTCGTAAAAAAAGGTTTTTCGTGGATTGTTATTATTCAACGCAGTGTTAAGTTGTTGGAAGTCGTTTATCTTAGTTATGAAATGATATTCAAAAGTTAGCCTTCCTGTCTACTGGTGAACAAAAATGCCTAAATACCAGGTATATTTAATGGCTGAGCTGTGAGTTATTGCTATTCCTAAAATGAAATCCTTTTGTGTTAAATAGAATTTAGACTTTAAGACATTAGTATTGTTAGCTAATGCTCTTAGTTACCCAGTTTGTCATAATGACTTATCAGAAAATGTAAATTTTACTTTTTATCATCTAACATTACATCACAAAAATCTTGCGACTAGATTAAGGAATCACAGATTTTATGTGTTTATTATATTAGACAAACATTTCAACAGGTCCTACTAACGGAGAAAATAAAACTACCATAAGTTGACAAATTGCTTATGATTTGACAAGAAATAGCTAACATATCTATACAATCTGACTCAAGAATTTTATGAAAATGGGATAGATGAATTCTTATCTTATATATTGTGAAAATTAGTAATGAATTAACACAGCTAGATTACAAACATCTTCCAAGGAATGCACTTTTTAAAGATACTCTTACTCAACTAACTTTAACAGTAAAACAATATACAGAAGTTCTGTGAAGACATTGACATTTTTACAAACATTGATTCTGACAGAAAAGTTCAAAGGTTGCATTGCCTGTATAGCATGATATCAGTTGCTATAATGAAATTTACTTGGATGGGGAGATACATGTTGCAATTTTTTTTTTTTTTCTTTTCTAAAAACATGTATCCCAATATCTGGTGTGGTAGCTGATGAATACGTAGATTTAGTATATGTCTCTTTAATCCAAATTAGTAAAAACGGCAGACTCTCTCTCAGCTTTTAGGTTAGGTACTCCTTTATTGCAAATCACAAATGCATTTCGGGCCTATATGAGCCACTCTTCAGTGTAAATGCTCAGAAGACAGAGTAATGCTTTTCTAATTGTATGACACTCACAATGATGTTTTATATAATCCAAAAAAACACATTGTATAAAATATCATTGTGAGAGAATGACACTATTACACAGGTACAATTAAAAACCTGTAAGGTATTTAAAACCTTATCGTGTACTTTAAGACGTTATCAGAATACATCATGTTTCTATTACAGTTTATCATATTTGTTAACGTTATTGTTGTAACACATGTATCAATTGAACATTTAGAGACAGTTCTCAGAGGAATTGAGGAACTAATTTGTTTGTTCAAGTTAAAAACTTGTTTAAGTTCATGAAAGTTGTTATCTTGAGTTTATATGTTAAAAAATAATTTTTTTCAATTTATTTTGACACTTTTCCCCCACAATAAATTAATCTTTTTTTATTTTTCTTTTTTGGAGGTTGAGAAATAAAACTTTCATGCATTAGAATTTGAATTGCATGTAGATAAAAATAGTTGGTAACTCCAATTATTCCAACTACTTTAACCTACATAGTATGCAATTTAGTCTTCTTTCCAAATATCTATTTTTTATTAAATGTATTTTAATTTATGATACTAATATATTTAGATTATATTAAAATTATATTACGTTTAAAAATTTACATTATTAATTGTAAATTTTGGAAAAACTTAAACTTTATATACACTGACAATTTCAGAGGTGAATCAGATGGTGATGTTTACGAAGAAGCTGAAAGATCTATAGGTAATTATCAATTTTAAGAATATTTACGTAAATTTTAAAGTCCCAAGGATTAATTTACTTTCAAATAATAATGTTCATACAAATAATTTTGGGTCAGTTTAAAGTTTTTATCCTTTTTTTTTTAACATTCCAACCAGATTTAACAATATTAATTAAATTCTTATTCAGCATCTTTAGTTACATCTTGAGTTAGCAAATCCAGAGTTATAAGTTAACTTTAAATTATATCTAGTTATCTTGTGCCCAAAATTTTTGGAATTTAATTTTATCATTTGGAATGTTTAAGATGGAACTTCAGTTCACAATATGATAAAATTATAGCTTTACTCACTCTTTCCAACAGATAATTTCAGTCATGCACAAATTTTTTTTATTTTCTTGAAGTTTTTCTAGAGTTTTTACTATTGTAATAAATTTTATTTATTAGCTTGTAAGTTGATAAAGTTAACTGGCATTGTAACAGTTTTTATAATAATTTTTTTGTCGCATGATTTACAAAACAAAAATGCATCATGTTATAGTAGATTGAAACTTATCACTTTTGAAAGGAAACATTTTTAAAATTAGTATGAAAACCAATATTATAGCATGGCATTGCCTTTTCCTATCAACCCTATTTGCAATGAGAGCTCTAACTTAGTATTATTGAATAAATATGAATGGATTTGTCTCAGTTAGAAAATTTTTCAGGATCTGTGAATTAGTAAATGTATAGTTTTGCTTCACAGACATTTTTATTAAACATGAATTTGAAATTGTTATTGTGTTTACACTTCTGTACATGGTGTAAGATTGAGAGTTACACATTTTGTAAGGTTATAAGTAAACTAAGGTAAGAACTAATAATAATGTAAGATTTAATTTCAATATACAGAAATTAAGTAACATAAGGATCAATAAGTAATACAATAACTTCCCGGCAATTCTATCCGTTTCTTACAAAAATTAAGTCGCAGACACACGTGAATTACAATCAAGACATGAAATACAAATACCGTACAAAAGTTACTAAGATCGAAGTCTTCAACGAGTTTCTTTCTCCCTTTGTTCTCGTTGTCCCGATCAGTCCTCGTTCCTTTGTTTTCTGTATACCTCGTACTTCCGTCGATCCACTCTCGAGTCTGTCCTTTCTTCGTCTCCCCTTTTTCGCCGCTCCTGTTCCCTATTTATACTCACCTCTCTCCCCCTGCTGGGCTAATTGCCCCCTTCGGGTCAAACGGACGGTGTACCGGTTTGGCTTACCTTAAACAAAGGCCATTGTCTGATATAGGCACAATATGGCGAACAATCGCCACAATAAAAGTAGCATACACATTTAATTTAAAGACTGTCTCTAAGTTGTAAAAACTGGTACAGTTCTATCTTTACTCCTTTTTTCACAAAATTATAAAATCTCCATTCTCCTCCTGTTGCATAGACAATATCTAAATGATATTCAATTTCCTGCCATGTGTTCTACAACATCTGTAGTCTAACAGAAGTAACAGTGTTCTGTATGTACTGTACATACAAAGTTCTTGAGGTTTAGTTATCAGTATAAACCTTGTTTTTCATATATCTCTTCCAGATGAAGAAGTCCAGAGACATAATGTCAGAATCACTGGACCATGGATATAAGGCTGTAACGATTGCATTATTTCATCATCATCTACAGTATTAACTTTTATATTAAACTTGATACATTTCATGGTTAATACAATTAGACCATAAAAAAGAAAATATATTCTAAAATTAATTCCTTAAACATTTAGATTTATAGTACTTTGATTATTAAATTTAGATGTCTGGTTTTAAAATGTTAAATTATTTTCCTTTCAGTTAAAGTAGAAGCTGGCAGTAGTACGGATAATGAAACTGTTCCACAAACAGCAGTCCAGATGCCTGAATTTGAAAACAGGCGAGAAATTTCTGCTGCCGAAGCGTATTCTCGGTATCAGGCACAGCAGGAGCAGGAGAATCGAAGGGTGTCGTTTTTTCGACATCCAATTCGATGGTATGCTAATATGTTTGATGAAGATTTGCTTTACTTTCCTTTATTTGCACATCCATCATTTCTGTCTCCAGTTTTCTATCCAAATCACGGCATACCGGGTGCCTTTGCTTTTCCACATCAGAATTTGAATAATCACTACAACGCAGATTATAACAACAGGGATTATCGTTCTCAAAACAGAGGAGGCACTTAATGAAATCAGTTTTTACAAAGCATCAAACTTATAATCAACTTTTTACTACGAATAAAACTCTGTGATTTTTATATAAATGTTTTGACAAATATTTTACATATTTATAAAATTGTTACTACTAAATAAAACAAGTTTAATATTAAGCATTGTCTTAATTCAAATTTGATACACCAGATACACCAGAATTGATAACAGTTCAAGTGATATATAGATAGGATTGCAGATGTCCCAGTTTTTGGATGATATCCCAACTTGGTTTGTAATTTTGTCTTGATTGGAGGAAAAGTATCAAAAATTTATGAAAATTAATTGGAAAGAGGAGCAACTTTCAGAAGCCCCCTAAGGTAAGAAAGGTGGCTGTAGTGTGACCTGACCTTGATGTCCAGTGCTAATGCAGCAGCTGAACTACTGTCAGTTCCCTCTTCCTACTCTAATACATTCCTATCCCCTTTCACTCCACATAGTATCCTGTCTGCTCTAATTTTACATGTCAAATTAGAGCAGACAGGATACTATGTGCTTTGAGTCGTGATATGGCTAACTATTCATTATGCATGCTTATTGTTTTCTCATCATAATTAGTGGATCTTAGGTTACATGAAATTTAAGTACTTGGTGTAATATGTATTGTATTAAAATGTAAAATATTAGTGAGTCCGCCAGGTGGCGATCGTTGTGATGCATCACGGGAACGGCACCTGAGCGCTCACTTTGGTTGGAACCTTTTGACAATAAACATAACACTTGGGTGTTAAATTGTAATGGGGGAAGTGAGGTGGTACATCCATTATTTGTCTCAGTTTGATGTGAAAATCTAGCATGTCTATTTATAGAAAAATCTGTTATTTCATTGAAAATCTTTTATTTCGGAAAAGATACACAGTAGAAACTTGATTAACCAAAACTTTTTTTTTATTATTAAGAAAAAAGGTGTAGCATTGTACTGTACAGTACATATTACAGAATCGAAACCAAACTACGTGTAACTGAAAATTACTGTCATTGTCAATTCTAATGCCATGAACTGTTATATATGTAAAATTTCATTAGATTGAGTTAATTTACTTTAAACATTGTAATCAATTACTATAATTTAAAGGTTTTTAGTTTTATTCTTTCTGCCCTAAGAACACTTAAGAGCAGTGGCACTCCCACACTATAAAAAAGGGGCATCCTATATACAGTATATGTATATATAATGTATATGTTCTTTGATTAACACAGTTAACCCTTGATGCTATCACATTAATCAAATACAATGGTACTTCAGTACTTGACCAAACAATTACCACCCGCTAGAACAAATTTTTGGTTAGTAACATATTTTTACTTTAATTTTTTCATCGGTAAAAAGTTTTGTGATAAACCTTAAAAATATCAATAAACCTTAGAGTTTCCTTGGGAATTAAGAAAAGTGCAACCTGACGACAAAGAGGGCAAGTGCCCAAATGTACAAGCACCCTTGCTTACGACCCTTCTTATCAAGCCCATTATGGATTTGATCAGTCCCGTAATGGGACAACTGATGGGGAGGACCATCCCCGAAAAAAATTAACAAGGTTTTTCAACCCATCCGGAGTGGTTTCATATGTTAATAACTTAAGCTGATTTAAGTTATTAAGTGCAGTGAGATGACATCCAGTGGCACGTTATAGCTTCTTGGGTCTTAGACAAATTTGAATTAGGCAATGTACAGTGTTGACTTAAGACATTTTTTTTTCAGGAAATGTTTTGGATGAAATATTTTCTTATCAAAGATTGGTTGGGAGCCTTAGACAATTGTCCATTTTACCCATAGGATAATGTGCCACTGGACATCATATCCACACTGCCAATGGCTTGTTAAATTCAGCTCTGCTTTTGCTGTGAGAACATTGCAATTGCTATTGAAGGTCTTTTAACAATGCATACGGTGCAGCTGTTGGAATATTTTGCAAATTATTTAATTTGAAACATTTTAAATGTAATTCATTTTTGCGATGTAATGGTTCATATAATACAGTATGAGGATAAATTTATTTAGTTTTAAAATGCAAAATTAGAGAAGAAATTTGGAGATACTTGTTAAAATTGAAAAAATATTTAATTTTCTATATTCACGTGCATTTTTGAATTACACAAATTGCAAACAGGAGCTCAGAATAAAAATTTTTAAATTTTCATTTTTTTCTAATTTTGCTTTATAAATAAATTAAAATCATTCTCACAAACTTTATATATTATGTAAAGTAAACCTTCAAAAGTGTTTGCAAGAGATGATAAGAAGGTTCCTAAATGTGGGAAGTAATGCATATAAACTAAATTTAATTATTTTTGTAGAGAATTAAATAACTATATTTATAAAAATTTATTACACAATAAACAATACTAACAAATAGAAATGTCAACTTAATTTATTGTTTCCTTTATATAATGATTATTAAGCAACATAATTATTCATTAGAATTGCAATTTGTACTATATTACATTACTCACAATTATTAAGAAATATAAATTTAAATGACTGAAATTTTTAATTTCAATTATTGTAATTTAAATTTTAAGGTTACATAATTAATGTATTTTAAATTTTAAGGTTACATAATGTTATATAACCTATCAGAAAAATGTTCAGAAAATGCAACATGTTCACAGTATGTGCAGCAAATAAGCATTATATCAAAATATGAAGTTATAAAAACAATAATAATTATAAAGTATGCACTAAATTTCAGTTGAATTTTTCTTATTGAATATATTCAAGCAATCTAGTATGGCTGATGCTCCTGATAAAACATCAACTAGAAGAGGAAAATAATTTTCTGTAGTCTTCTAAGCAAGTAATCATTATTTATTAAATCATTTATTATTATATTACAAATTACACATAGCAGAAATCTTCACAACAATTAATAAATAATTGATCAGTGAATATTTCTTATGATAATAATAATATGTGGTTCCTGTGATAAATATTTTTTTAAACCTGAAAAAGCAATGTTTAATGTCCTAAAAAGATTTGTTTAAAAAAAGGTTTTAAGATGTAAGCAGAGCATGTTTTTTCTTAATGTACTAATATGGAATAAGAAAGTTGAGTACATTATCAAACAATAAAACATCATCTTGGGATGAAAAGTCTTTAAGGTAGTCTTTTTTCTTCAATTATTTACGAGGAAAATTTATTATTATTGAATTTTAATACATCTCTTCCTGTGTATATAATCATTAATACAGTTTACCCCCCTATAACACTGTTGATTATTCCGTTTTATATGAATTCCATGTTGTACGAGTCACTTAGATTTAGATTTAGAGTTAGATTTTATAAATACGTGAGCCGTTCACAGCCCGGCACATGTATTTGTAAAATCTAAGTGACTCGTACAACATGGAATTCATAAAACGGAATAATCAACAGTGTTATAGGGGGTCGACTGTAAACTATTTCTATGTAATGGTTTAAGAATCATCACTCATGGATCTGTCAGCTGGAAAACGGAACAATTTTACACTTTTCGCTGACAAATTTTTACAATTCGGTGCTGAATACCAAACCATTTTTTAAAAAAAAGTAGATAAGAAATTCAATTAAGCTCGAAAAGAACAAATAACCAAATTCGCTCTAGAAACACCGTACACATAACTTCAAAGGACCCAATATGGCGACTGCCGTGATGCATTACGGTATCGCGTCCAGACCTTGAGTGCAACGCTTCAAGAAAACGAGTCTAGTAACGCTATCAACGGCATCTCTTAGTTTAGAAACAACCAAAAAGCCTTGTGTAGAGCACTATAGAGCCAGGGGTGGCCAACTTTTGTGTACATAAGATCTACTTTTTATCTTAAAAATGTGTCGCGATCGACTCGTTGTCGTAGGCATGGTCTAAGTCAGGGATAGGCATTCCGCGGCCCGAGTTGCATAAAATGTGTATAAATATATCAATTTCCTAGCTTAAGAAGTATGCAGCAAAAATTCAAACGTTATTTTCTACAACTTATGTGTGTGAATAGTTTTTCCTGCAATGAATTTAGTAAAAATTAAAACGAGAAACCGGCTAACAGACTCACCTCGAAACTAATTTAAAACTAGCAGTGACTAATATTTAATCAAATATTTTTGATACATTACGTTTACATCAGTTCTAGAAGCTAAATTAAGTATACCTATTCTATTTTATAATTATATATGAATAAATAATTGTGATTTACCGGCATTTTCCCCCCTCTTTTATCTTGTATGTGGCCGGCGTTAGTTCAAAAGTTTTGAAATGCGGCCCTTACACAGAAAAACGTTGCCCATCCCTGGTCTAAGTGGCGAGGGGGAGGGAGGTGTGAAATACATACTAAGTTTAGATAGAAAAGAAAAGCCACAATTTAATTTAAAACACGAAGAAAAGGTACTTACATTTTAAACAAGAAAAATTGAAACTCAACGTTGTCACTTTCGGGGACCACCACTTCACCCTTCTTCTCTCTACCGTGTCCCGACCTACTCTCTCTGTCCCTTCTTTTTTTCGATTTTACGACCCTTTGTCTACATTTCTTATTTCCCTTTTACAACTGTACGCAAATGGATTGCACATGGACCGATATAACCGCATCTGAGGGAGAACGAGGAGGTCCGATATCACTACAGTTGCGTTTGCGCGTTTCGTTCACGCGTTGCGTTCGGTTACAACTTACAAGTGTAATACATTAAGTCAAGACATCGCGAGCGATCGACCGAAATTGGTTTTGCGATCGACTTGTTGGCCACCCCTGCTATAGACATCTTGCATATGAAGGTAAGTGATTGCACATGTGCTTTTGTCTGGCGCTATATTTGTGACGTTGCCTTTCATGCTTCAAGTAGTACGAGTAACGATATATTTTTGCTGACGTTTAAGAATAGTGCATTGAGTAACAGGTTGCAATTCGAATTGTGCAACGCACAAGGATATATCTTTTTATACGGTAAAATCCCTTTTGTCACACGCCAAGGAAGACTAGAGTCGTATTATCTACATAAAAATCTTGTAACTCAATTTTTCACTCACTTTCCGATTATGTTAAGGCCCGGATTCACTACTGTCGTTAGTTACAACGTCGTTAAATACGACAAATTTACGACATATCTAAAATTCACGAAGATCATCGTAACCAGAGTATTTTTATCTAATAATTTACCAAATCCACCTTTTTACTTTCAATTTGTTCTCAAGCAACAACAGGTGGTTCCAAGAACAGCAGTTCAGTACAAAAACCACATACAGGTACAGTATAACACGTAAACATCTGAATTTAATCTCCAATCAGAATTTATAAGAGATTTGGGATTGCTTAATCAATCAGTAAAGAAACGAATAGAAGCAACTGTATAGTGACTTTGTTACTTTCTTAATTGTATAAAATTATTTAACAAATTATTGATCTTAGAACAGAATTTTTTCTCTTTTAAAAGATGAAGCCTGCAAGTGAATAATTTTAGCCGTTAGTGAAGTTAGTTCACAACTAATTTGCAAACTGTTCAAGTAACTATTATTCAAAACCTCTGGTTATCATAAAGTACACATTTGTCTCTTGCAAATTACAGAAAAATTTTGAAATAATGGATTATAAGAACAAAAGTAATTTATGTAATCCTTTTTTTTAAACTCACCCCGGTGTTTAAAATGAGAGCCTCTTTTAGCAAGCTCATTATGGGTTCGGCCAGGCCCACAATGGGACGGTCGGGTAACGAGGAACAGGGCTCTACATATCCCGATGGATCACCACCTGAAAATTTCCTGGGTTTTCTTCGACCCGTCTGGATTCGATTTCGGGTCCCCAGAGCGGTAGGTTGTCATCTTGACTGCGCGGTCATCTGATACCTGTAGTCTATTAAGATGTAGCATGATGCGGTCGGAATGGTCCGTTTGGATATATCGGGCCCCGTCCCTCACCACCCGGCAGCCCCATTGTGGGCCTGGCCGAATCCATAATAGGCTTGCAAAAAAGAGGCCCTCTTAGTGCCCGCAGGGAGGAAAGAGTTAAAAAAAAAAGATGTAGCACGTGACCCACGAGGGTCCTTTTAAAACGATTCTTGACGTTAAGCAAATATGATTTGCCGGTTTTATATTTTATTCAAACAACTGTAACAGAAAGTTTGTCTAAAAGAGGTAGTTTTTCTGCAAAAAGTAGTATTTAAAAGAAAAGAAAAAAAACTTTAAAATAGCAAAAGGTTAGAACAATAGTTATTTAAATAATTTTCATTTAAATAAGGAAAGCAATTAACATTAAGTCTTAATTTGCATTTAAAAGTGGCATAATAATCGCCTTTAGAAACGTGCCCAGTGTTCCGTTAAAATAATTTGAATTAAATACGTACAATTATAGATACATTTTTGATTTAAAGAAAATTTTATCCCGATGTTATACATATAAAATTTTACTTACGAATATATATTTTTTTACTACATTATGTATACGTTTATTTATTATAACAATGAAAACGTCGTATAATCAATTTAATTAAAGAAGTTTTAATTTTAATATAAGTACACTTATTGTTCTTTGGGCTTCTTTCGAAAATAATTTATTTAATAACCTTAAAAATTTTTCGCGGCATATCGGTTGAAAATCACTACCTTATTCCATTAACCTGACTTTTATATATATATATATCTGTCGCGGATTAGATTAAGCCCACAATAGAGACAATCCAGTGGCATAAGAATGGAGTTCGACGTATCGGAGATAAACCATTTATGAAAAATTCATGGGGATTGCTCGTCCAGATTCGATCCTGGATTCCCCAGAGCCGATTCTGGAACCCCAGAGCCGATTCTAGAACCCCAGAGCCGATTCTGGAACCCCCAGAGCCGATCCTAGATCCTCCAGAGCGTTAAGCTACCTTGAGGCGGGGCGGAAGAAGGTCAGATTTGGAATGATAAGAATGAAAGGAGGAAAAACGATCGACCAAGCAAAAAGTTGAAACAGCAGAAGGACAAACATCATTATTTGATTTATATTTACGTATTTAACGAAAACATTTCGTGTAGAATTCACGTGATTTTGCAATAATTCTTTTTTATTTTGATGACGTGTCTAATACTTTCTCAAATAATTTCCTCTTATTATTGATTCTATTCCAAAGTAAAATCTTTTTTGTATGACGAAAAACTTCGAAACTTAAAAAAAAAAAAAAAAAAAGTCAAGTTCTGGGTAATTTAATTATCATTTTATCTTTCAGTTCTAGCGAATTTTTTAAAATTAATTTATTTTATAAACTATGCATAGAAAATGAATGTATTTTAACTACAAATTTATACCATTTAATTTATCTTAAATGTGATCAGTAAAAATTCAATTACAGTATCTGTAATATCTTTTAAAAAAATAGTGTCCTTCAGTATATATATATATGCATATATTTTTCAGTTAGTAGCCACTTTGGAATACTGGAAGGCCTTGTTGACAGGCAAAAAACGCTTTTTAATATGAAGAAAATTGGGGAATTAACACAAGAATATTTTACCAAGCTAGAGAAAGTAAGAATAAGTTAAATAAAATGGAAAAATTATGTAATGGACTATGTTGTTAATCGTCAGCAAGGATAACTTTCAACATACCGTAAGTGTAGTGTTTTAATTGTGATTTATTTTTTATACACGCGAAACAATAATCCGAATATCTTTAACAAGATCGAAGCATTTTCCTATTGAAATTATAGTTAAGTAAAAATAACTTTCTTGCTCAATCATTCAATTATTTATTTTTGAAATATTATAACAATTTTCCTTACTTAAATACAAAGGTCAACTTCGTAAGAAGATATGTAAATATGATAAATTGATGTGTATATAACAAGTGAAGAGTACAAATACTTATAAATCTATGTATTATAGCGTATAGATTAATTTTCTGCATATAAATGATTGATAAAAACATATTTTCGAGAAAGAAAAGCCGATTACAACTACTTAAAGGGGGTCATCATTGCGTTGTTTATTTGGCAAGAAGCCAAATAAATAACAATTTAAATTTCTCTTCGATTTATAAACAAATAATTTCTGTTACAGCGAACAAACTAGGGCATTGGATAAAGCAAAAAAAAGTATTTTATAATAAGCGAATAAACTTTAAAAATTAAATTTTAAAAATGCACGATCCAAGACATTAAATGCTATAATGTCGTGAATCAAGGTTACGCCGCATTCAAGGTTATTTCGCATTATGAAAAGTAATGAAACGTCACAATGATAAATAATTGTATTTCAATTGAAAACAATAATAATAATGCGCGTGTAATTACGGTAAACATAAAATATATAATTTTTTTCATCCGTCCCCGGAAAAAAAAAAGAAACCGAACGAAATTGTAAATATTTATTTTTAAAAAATTAATATAATTTTTTTTTACGTGTAGAGCAATGTTTTTTTTTTATTTTTTTTATTTCAGAGTTAAAAAAAAAAGATGTAGCACGTGACCCACGAGGGTCCTTTTAAAACGATTCTTGACGTTAAGCAAATATGATTTGCCGGTTTTATATTTTATTCAAACAACTGTAACAGAAAGTTTGTCTAAAAGAGGTAGTTTTTCTGCAAAAAGTAGTATTTAAAAGAAAAGAAAAAAAACTTTAAAATAGCAAAAGGTTAGAACAATAGTTATTTAAATAATTTTCATTTAAATAAGGAAAGCAATTAACATTAAGTCTTAATTTGCATTTAAAAGTGGCATAATAATCGCCTTTAGAAACGTGCCCAGTGTTCCGTTAAAATAATTTGAATTAAATACGTACAATTATAGATACATTTTTGATTTAAAGAAAATTTTATCCCGATGTTATACATATAAAATTTTACTTACGAATATATATTTTTTTANTTTTGCACCAATAAATTAAGTACGTAAAATTTGACTCCAATTCGAGCCACACCTACATTTTTGTTTGTTTGTTTATTTGTTTGTTTTAAAATTCAAATGTGAAATTGATTACTTTTTTTAAATTCAAAAATATGAAATTGATTACTTTTTAAAATTATTTTAATGTAGGACGTGTTCGAAAGTTATAAAAGTTTCGTGTGATTTCTTTTTTTTTTTATTAAATAATATGGAAAATCATTTAATCTTATCTACGATTTTGAAATGTTTATTTGATATAAATCTTTACAATTGTTTTGCAATTTAAATATTAGTTATGGTATGTATTATTATGACAATTAATTGTAATTAAAATTTTAAATTTAGTTATATGTAATTAATTGCTGACTTAAAACGTAATAAATCATTAGTATTGTTCGTATATACGACAGTAATTGTAAATTTTATGCTAATCTAATAAACAAATTTTATTCTTTTAATATAGATTCATTCTAATGCAATTTACATTCTGCGTTTAAACGAGATTTTGAATTTATCTTTGCAGAAGCGGAAAAATATTATTTTCAATTATTTTCTAAAAATTTAATATAAAACTTAAATCTACATAATTATGTCATCACTGTCAATTTTATTTCAGGATCAAATTTTATAATATCCATTCTGTTCTGTTCCTCTGTGTCCATTCTTTATTCTTAGCTCTAACGTAACTTTCTGAAAATTTTTGGTTGTTTTTGTGCCATACTTTTTGTGCCATACTTAGCGTTGTTTTTGTGCCATACTTTAGGTCCCTAGTTGATAGGTCTGAATCTAGATCCTTTGTTCCATAGTTTTAAGTTAAGTGGTCCCTGAAACTGATGAATGTAAAGTCTTATATTGACATTTTAGATAATTCCATAATCTATAGATTGTTGCAGATTTATGGTACAGAGTGGTTATAATTAGTGATGTGCCAGATATCCGTATCCGCAGATATCCAAGGGAAAAAAAAAGATCTGTATTCGTATCAGTATCAGTTACTTTTTAGTGGATCTTTAACGGATCTTTTATCTTAATGAATTTCATTACTTATAGAAATTTTAAAGCTAGGTAGCAATAAAATACTAATAACTTCAATTCAAATTACTTTTTATTTCTTAAAATCACATATTTGGCACATTCACATTGACAAATTTTATCATGCAAAATTCACTTACTATCATAAAATATTTCCATATTATGCTACTAAACTTTTTTGTCGACATTGTTTTTATTTTAATTTAACTCAACACTCTCCAAAAATACAAATGTAATCTATGCTATCGCATGTCACACTAAACTATAAACAAAAACATGCACAGTGCAAGTCAAAACACGTCGCTTACTAACGCAAAGTATCAACTATTGGTCCAAGATCACACACACTGGCACTGACTGAGTACGAAAGTTGAGATTTGTATCCACGGATATACATTTTTAACGATCCAGCACATAACTAGTTATAATTAAAGTTGCACTACTCAGACCTGTCTAGAGCCTGTTTTCGTGGACGTATTTTGATGAAACTTGGTATATATGTTACATGGACCATGGGGAAAAGGAAAATGCAAAAAAAAAATATTTAGTTCAAATTTTTACCACTAGGTGAAAAAAAATGGTACACGAAGAACAAGAAACACAAAATGGAAACACGCAGAAGGTTTTTATTCACATTTGTTCAATGTGCAATCCATTTGCATCAGTCACATGTTAAACACCTTTATAGCATTGTAAGGCATTTTGAACATGTAATTGATGCAAATGGATTGCACATTGAACAAATGTTGTGAATAAAAACCTTCTGCATGTTTCCATTTTGTGTTTCCTGTTCTTCGTGCACCATTTTTTTTCACCTAGTGGTAAAAATTTGAACTAAATATTTTTTTTTGCATTTTCCTTTTTCCCATGGTCCATGTAACATATATACCAAGTTTCATCAAAATACGTCCACGAAAACGGGCTCTAGACAGGTCTGAGTAGTGCAATTTTAATTAAAACCAACCTGTACTTTTGCTTAGGATTGTCAACTCTCCTGGATTCATTGGAAGACTCCCAGAATATGGCAAAAATTTTAAAATTGTCCAACTTCTGAATTGAAACCTAGTCATTCATATCTACTCAAAAAGACAATTAGCTTTGAAGCATATATTAAAACAGATTTTAAGAATAGGTAACAGCATTTTGGTATTGCTGAGTGTAAAAAATATATCAAATATCCAAAGATTTTCTAGAACTGGAATGAAAAAATCCTGGAATCAGCTCTTCAGGAATTGGGAAGCTTATACTGTCTCCTATATCTTTTAGCATGAACACTCCCCTTCATGTCACAAAGCAGTAATTATAAATGCCTCCATGGTTCCAGGACAATAATATATCTTTTAGTGGCAATCATAAAGGCAAAATCTGAATCCCTTTGAAAATATTTGAGGTAAGTTGGACATGTCTATGTTCTGCTTTGTCCATAATGAAACTATTGTTTTGAAATAGGAATGGAACAACAAATTGCAAGTTTACCAAAAATTAATGAAAAGCCTTCCAGATTGGCTGTCTGGCTTTAACTGTAGCAACCTGATAAACAATTTTACTAATAAAATTGATATCTGTTCAAATGTTGTATGTCTCAATGCAATTGGATCCCTTGTAACATTATAAATTGTGCAAAATCAAGTAAGATTCTGAAGTATAGGAATGAGAGCTTACATATATAACTTTAAATAACATTATAAATTAAGTATAAAAAGTAAAAAGAACAATTCAAATAGCAATAATAAAATACCAGTAATTAAAAAAAATTAGAATACTACATATGACTTCAGATGGATTTGTGAAGTCCTACTCTTTACTAATTTCTTAAGTTGGAGTTAGAGCAGAGAATTAATTCTGCTCGACAGATTAATTCGTTTCTTTCCATTTTTAGGTTAAAAAACTCTGGGGATTTTTATTTTAAATTTATAGCTTAGCAACTGCAAACAAGGAAAGCCCACTTACCCATACACAGGGGTGTGGACTTTTATTAGGCCACTACAGAAAATTTTCCAGGAGGAACATATGGAGACAAAGCTTGGAGACAAATAATTATATCAATAAATTTTTATTTCATTAATTTTTTGGGGTTTTTTATAAGTAAATTATAGAATACAGTATTGCATCAAAACATCCCATGGTCGAGGGTGTAAAGTTACATATCTCAATCAAAATTTTTTACTCTCTACCTGGAAGGGCAAGTATCCCATTTGCACCTCTGTAGACACCCATGTACTCATGTGACTGGCAAAGCATAAGGAAACATAAGGTATCATATTACATAAATTATTAATGTTATGTAAAACAACTTCTTTTAGAAAAATAAAATAGTCTGAGAATTTACTGTACTTTTGATACAATAATGTACCTGAGGATTATTTGAAGTAAATAAAAAGACTTAAATTATTTCATAAGATTATATGAAATAAATTAGAAGAATGATGATATAATATGAAATTTAGATAATGGATTCAAAGAAAGAACTTTCTTAAACTACTTACGTGTGATAAATTTAGACATTTTAAAAGTATATATAATTGAAATCATCAAAATTTTATATCAAAATATTTATATTACTTGGACTTTGTTTTATCCAAAGATTTAATAAATTGTTAAGTTAAAAGTTAAGATTTAAAAAGTTAAAGAATATTTTTTTAATATACTATTTTACAAAATGATCTGTTTATAGTAATTTTATAGCAAAACTACATTTTTTTTTTTTAATCAAATATAATATTCATAGAATTAATAATATACAAGTTTTTTTAATAAAAGAAAACAACAATGCACAAGAAAAGAAAGAAAATAATATACAGTACAAGTGAATGTATTACATGATTAAATGAAAGCATTGTATGGCACTGTAGATTGGTTATGTTGTCACTAATGATTATGATTTAAATAAAATTAGAAAAGTTTCAAACAAATGAATTCAGAATGGGATTTAACCTTGCATTATACTGTTATCAGTAACATCTTTATTTAGGATATATTGTTGATTGTCAATTGTGTGTATTTATTGATAAGATTATGTCTTGTCAGTAAATACACTACATATGATTTTATAAATAACACTATATGTTTATAAAATCGTACTGCCCACTGTGTTACCAGCTTAGAGGTATGAAGGAGTATAGTACATGTCAGGAGTTGCAATTTGGCACAGAGTACCTATGTGCCCAAATCATGCGCACGTAAAACAAACCAGATTTTNCACAATAAATAATTGCTCATTTATTATTACAATACCTTCTGGATTCACGACATCGTCGTATGATGGTGGTGGACCACTTTCTCTTCCTTGATGAAGAGGAACTGTTCCAGGTATTTCTGAGTAAGAAGGTGGTTGTATAGCTGCAGATGGCTGATAGCCAGCTTGTTCATGCTGAAAAACAATTGACAACATAATTTATGTAAATATATAAAATAGTCCAATTTTTATTCAATATAAACAATAATAAATGTTTTGAATATACTTCTTTTCTAAAAATTATAAATCAATAATGAAATAAAGATAAAATATGAGCCTCATCTGAAGCTAATTTATAAATAAAATGGAAATTCAGTAGAAACAGTAAAAAACATATTACTTAAGATATATTTTAACTATAACAAACTTATTTAATATCCAATACTGTATTAACTTTATTTTAGTTTTCATTTATTAAATTTGATAACATGACAAGAACCAAATGGCAATGGCTGGTGTTATTCTCTTACTCTACCTACTTTAATCTGGTGAAGCCAGTCTCAAATTCAGATTAAAGAGAGAAGCTTGGCTTTGCTTTACAGCCAAATGATTTTCTTGCCTGCATGCATGCACACATACACAGTATATATATATATATGCATGCAAGTCATTTCGTTGTAAAAAAAATAAATTTGTAAAAAAATATATAAATTTATTTTTTTTACAACGAAATGACTTGCATGCATATATATATATATACTGTGTATGTGTGCATGCATGCAGGCAAGAAAATCATTTGGCTGTAAAGCAAAGCCAAGCTTCTCTCTTTAATCTGAATTTGAGACTGGCTTCACCAGATTAAAGTAGGTAGAGTAAGAGAATAACACCAGCCATTGCCATTTGGTTCTTGTCATGTTATCAAATTTAATAAATGAAAACTAAAATAAAGTTAATACAGTATTGGATATTAAATAAGTTTGTTATAGTTAAAATATATCTTAAGTAATATGTTTTTTACTGTTTCTACTGAATTTCCATTTTATTTATAAATTAGCTTCAGATGAGGCTCATATTTTATCTTTATTTCATTATTGATTTATAATTTTTAGAAAAGAAGTATATTCAAAACATTTATTATTGTTTATATTGAATAAAAATTGGACTATTTTATATATTTACATAAATTATGTTGTCAATTGTTTTTCAGCATGAACAAGCTGGCTATCAGCCATCTGCAGCTATACAACCACCTTCTTACTCAGAAATACCTGGAACAGTTCCTCTTCATCAAGGAAGAGAAAGTGGTCCACCACCATCATACGACGATGTCGTGAATCCAGAAGGTATTGTAATAATAAATGAGCAATTATTTATTGTGACATCATCACAATGCCGAGCTGCAATTTTTAATTTAAAATATATTAAATAAAATGTATGCTATCCACCTCAAATTAGTAGTGTCATGCCCCTGTACATCATACTTTTCCTTTAACAATAGTCATGCCAGTCATCTATTAACTGCTTTTGGAAAAAAATTTTTGGATTGAAATAACTTGATTTCTGGTTTGCATCAGAAGTTCATATATAGTTAATTGGGGCTTCCTGCCTCTAAGTTTTCTATATCTGGTCTTGACTTCCACATATCTAACTCTGTTCAAGACATTATGGAAGGACGGATGGATAGATTATATTGGGAAATTTATAGGTCTACAATTTTTTCGGAGTGAAGTCCAATAAAATAGAATTATATAATTAGTAAATCTTATAAAATTATTCTTACAATCTTTTAATATGATATAGGAATACGTATACATTGTTTAACTAATGCATTTTCAGTTTATCTAATCACATATGAAATACAGATAAATCAGAAATTTGTTTACGTATTTATCAGTTTATGATTGTGATTATAAATTATGGCTATATATAGATATGAATAATTTATATAGGAGAATAGCATTAAATAATAGAATTGTATTTTCTTGAAATAAATGTTTTTAAGTCAGTAGTTCAGTTTTTGAAAATCAGAAAATGTATTTTTAAAGTAACAAAATGCTTGAAATCAAAATTTTAATTAGTAAAAATTATTCAAACTATTAAATAATGAATGATTTATATTCATATAATGATGATGATAATACCTATTTACTTTTACTAGTGTGTCCATTTCTTCTCAGGCCAATATTTGTTCAATATAACAATTTTATTTAAATGTGAAGATTTTTGATATTAAATAAAATTATTTATAAATGATGTTTATTATCAAATAAAAATTCAGTGTAAGCAAAAAAAAAATGCAAGTTATTAGATTTGTGTGAAAAAAATTTTACTAATATTTCATTATATTTAAAATAAATCTTTATATGAAATTTGAATAGTTAAATATCTGTGTTTTACAGTTTTAAATCAAAACTTTTCCTAACGAAACTAGTACTTTCAGTAAGAAAGTCGTAATTGATTATTTGTTTATGGTAAAATATTTATTTTGTATATTATCTAAATCTGATATTTTAGCCAAAAATAAAATTATTTGAATTTTTATCTCATCGTATATTAATTGACTATATAACAGTTATTAAAAGAACAAAAGTGACAAAACTAGAATTGCTAAATTTTGTAGCAATTAAGTAATTAATGATAATAAGCTGTCAGAAATTCTATTGTCAGCATGATATCCTTGTTAAAGGATAAACCAAATTTTTTTTTACAACTGTTGCAAAAATTAATGATTAACTTTAATGTTAACACACACAAGTATTGAAATCTTTACTTTGTCAAAAATAAGACATTGCTGCTTATGAAATGACTTTCTTAATACAGTTTATAAATAGCTTAAACAATTCATTGCAAGTTTATTGCAAATTCAGCATTTCAACAATTCATTGCAAATTTGTTGAGAAAAAATTAATTTGATTATACGAGGCGTGTTTTTAAAGTAAGTACCGTTTTGAAATATAAAAAAAACAAGCAAACATTTCTAACAAAATTTTTATTTGTGAAAGCCCATATTTTACACTACTTTTCTACATAATTCCCATTAATATTGAGACACTTGTCGTATCGTGGGACCAGCTTTTGTATTCCATCCTCAAAGAATGTTGCCGCCTGATGAGACAACCACTGCAGAACGGTCGTTTTGACTTCGTCGTGATTGTTATGGCGCTGCCCTGCCAGATGCTTCTTCAAATGCAGAAACAAATGATAGTCACTCGGCGCTAGGTCGGGACTGTATGGAGGGTGGTCTAATTGTTCCCAGCCAAATGATGTGATTAGGTCTTGAGTTTGATTTGCCGTATGTGGACGAGCATTATCGTGGAGCAAAACGACACCCTTGCTCAGTAAGCCCCGCCTTTTGTTTTGTACTGCACGGCGCAGTTTTTTTAAAGTCTCACAGTATGCAGCTGAATTGATCGTTTCACCATGAGGCAAAAAATCAACAAGCAACACTCCGTATCTGTCCCAAAACACCGTGCACATGATTTTCTGAGCAGAAATTGTTTGCTTGAACTTGACTTTCCTTGGAGATGATGAATGTCGCCATTCCATGGATTGTTGCTTTGATTCCGGTGTAACGTAGGCTACCCACGTTTCATCGCCTGTAACAATACGACTTAAAAAATCATCTCCTTCGTCACTGTAGCGCTCAAGAAAAGTCAATGCACTGGCCAAACGTTTGGTTTTGTGCTCCTCCGTCAACATTTTCGGCACCCAACGGGAACACAACTTCCGATAATTTAATCGTCCGGTCACAATTTCATAGAGAACACTTCTTGAAACTGCAGGAAACTCTTTAGATAAAGATGAAATCGTGAATCGTCTGTTCTCTTTCACTCTACAGTCCACTTTTTCAATCAAATCGTCGATAATGACTGAAGGTCGCCCACTTCGTTCCTCATCGTGAATGTTTGTGCGGCCATTACTAAAGGCCCTAACCCATTTTCGTACCATTCCTTCACTCATAACGCTTTCACCATAAACTTCACTGATTTGGCGATGAATTTCAGCCGCTTTTGAGCCTTTAGCACTGAGAAAACGAATAATGGCACGCACTTCGCAATCGGCGGGATTCTCAATGAGCAGCAGCATTTCAATAACACACAAACAACAGTAAACACAGTCGACTGGCTCCGTAATGGCGTTTGTGGCTTCCCAGCAGATGTAGGTACACAGTGCACATGCGCTAAGTGCCGACTGCAGCGCTCCAGCGGCGTTATATTAAAACGGTACTTACTTTAAAAACACGCCTTGTACATATTAAGAACTTAGAATATAATTATGTAATATATGCTTCTGATTTAACACGATCCATCTCAAATTAGAATCGTATTGTATCTTGCCCTAGTACATAATGCTTTTCCTTTTAACAATAGAGTTGTGCCTGTCTTCTATTAACTGCTTTCAGGTGAAAAGTTTTGAATTGAAGTGATGTGACTTACGGTTTTCATCAGAAGTTGGTATATATAGTTAACCAGCTATATATACCTTAGGTCCTCCTGCCCCTAAGGTTTCTCATCTATCTAACTCCGTTCTTGAGATTAAGGAAAGACAGTCGGACAGTCAACAGTGAGAATTTATAGGTCAACAAGTTTTTCAAATTGCAGCCCAATCAAATCCCAATCAAATGCAGATGTAGATGAAAACAGTTAGAAATCACATGACTTTATACTTATCGGAACATGTTTCAAGAAGTGGGTAAAAATCTGTCAAAATATATCCCAGTATTGTATTGCCTCAGATCAAAATCCAGTGGTGCAATGGTACATGGAAGGCTGAAAAAATTAGCAAAGAATAAAAATTGCAAAAGATTGGACAAACATTATTAAGAGATAACAACAGTATTAAAAGGAAGTTCAGTGAAAAAGTAAATGGAAATATACAAAATATTACTCTAACAAAACAATTAATATCTGGTTAAAGATGCTCCTATTGAAGATGTGATGATCATTTCAATGTAAAGGCACATTACAAAAAGAACTATTGGGTGATGGATGATATTTTGAATTTATTGAATCAGTACTGATAATAGAAAAATGAAATGAAACACACAAAGAACTACATAGTACAGTTTGTAGAAAACTTAGAGAAGCAAAGACACATTATTTAACAGAAATGACAAGAAATGTCTTATGCAACAAATCAGAAATGTGTCAGTGGATATCTTTGTATGTTTTATAGATTTTCAAAAAGCATTTGAGTGTGTAAAATATATTTTAGTTGAAATATTACAAGAAATAAGTTAAGACTGGATTGGAAGGATTTTTGTATTGTATTGGAAACAGCAGGACTGTTAAAAGTTTTAGGGACTGAGGTAGAGCCCTTTTAGCTTCTTAGCACGCTCTAGTTTTTTAGTGGATTTCTTTTACCATATCTTTTTTGTACAAATGAAATAAATGCATAGAATGTTTCTTTATTAATAAAAAGCAGTCTTAAACAATTTAATTTTTGTTAGTAAAAACAACAATAATTTATAGAGGTAGGAATCACTGTAGGATTTTAAGTTTTTTTCTAGCTCCTTCCCTCAACAGCCCTGGGAAATAAGTAGCTATAATAAGAATTGATGACACAACCTCATAATAAACTGAAATTGAAAGAGGAGTGAGACAAGGTTGCATTTTGTCATCACTCCTTTTTTAATGTACCATATATTTAGAGAAAATCTTTAGAAAAGCTGTAATGGGAAAAAAACAAGGCATTGTAGTGAATGGAGATGCACTAAATAATCTGTGATATATAGAATACATGGTTCTTTTGACTGAGTTCTTAAGATCCATAGATATTATAAATGAACATTTTTAACTCCTGTGCAGAAGCAGATTTAAATATTACTATTAATACGATTAGAATCTTGACTGTTAGCAAACAACAGAACATTGATATAAATACAGTAAGACCCCGCTTAATGCGAGGGATGTGTTCCTAGACGACAAAGCGCTAAACGAAACAGCATTAAAAGAGGTCATTTTAACATAGAGTAAATAGGTATAGGGGAACACGAGNATGTTTATTTACAAATAATAATTATTAAAATAACAAGTGCAAATAACAAAATTATTTTTTTATTTAAATTTAGTTTAGATGAATAAAATGTTTAATCACAAAATATAAATTGATTAACAAATGTACGGCACAGTCCACATAGCTTCACTTTATATATATACAGTAAGACCCTGCTTAACACAGGAGATGTGTTCCTAGACAACAAAGCACTAAACGAAACACCATTAAACAAGTAACACAAACATATGCACACAGAAATGTATAATAATATATTAATTAGTTCATATTTTGTGACGAAGGTCCTGTTTTTTTCTGAAATTCTTGTTTTTTGCAATAAAGTTGTGAAGTTTCATTTGTTGCTTTTTTCTTTCCTTAAACAAATGTCAGTAGCAGAAGATCGCATCCAAAATGCCTCATTTTGCTTTTGCACTCTCTTCAAAATCTAGATCTTTCACTGCAACTTGATCAACGATTTGGGTTATTGTTATCAAACTTTTACTAAGGAAATCTGTAGAGAAATTTTTTTGGGTTCTTTGTTTTCAGAATCTCTATTTTCCAGTTACACATGAATTCTTGAAGGTCATTGTTGATAACTCTCACCAGAAAACTGAGGTATCCTGTTCATCTACATCTCCCAGTCCTGCTGTATTGATCAGGTTGAGTTTGATCAACCTAACGATACAGCAATAGGCTCTTCTCATTGAGAATTCTTGGATAACTTCAGCCATAACTTCTTCCACACTTTGTTTGTGCATTTATGAGTTAATTATTGCCAAACAAAGCCAATATTGCCTATGGCATCCATGATGTTTATATTTTTTACCAAAATTGCACCAAACACATAGATTGAAGGACCTTTTTGCACCATCTTTTTCTGATTGGTTCATGTTCATAAATAATCATATTATGTACGAATCAATAAAATGCCGTGATAATTTAAATCAGCATAAATTTTTTGAGTTTTTTTTTATGTTTAAAAATTTAATGTTCTTTCAAATAAACTATCATTTTCAATTTTTATTATTATCTTGTCAAAAAAACTAAAGCATTTTCTTACTATTGTAGTGAATTTAAACATTTAAAACCCAAACACTTTACTGCTGCCAGTTCAAAGTAATTGAGTTTTGATATTATTTGATGAGTATTTTAGAATTTATACCCTTGAAGTTTTTAAAACATTTAATTTTTAAATGTTTAATTTTGTTCCAATAAAACACTTTAACAATAATGTAAATTTAAAAAAGTAAAATATGATTTTAATTATACATGCTGTTTGTTGTTCCTGGGCGGACTGAAAATTTAAAGAGAAAAAAGGATTCAAATGTTTGTATTACCTTAATTTATTTTCATAATTGAAAAATTATGATTTTAATATTATAAAAATATATTAATGCTATACTAACAGCAGATATTGAATTACAATTGTTATTTCAGTATGAACTTTTGATATTAATAAAAAAGTTTTTAGTAAAATACATATTTAATTTGATTTTTTAAATAATTTAAAATTAGTATGTTGAAAATCACTAATAAAAATTAATTTTAATGTGGCATATGTTTCAAGATCTCCTATGATTCATATTTTATGTTTTTTTGCATTTTATTAATCAGTACATGTACAAAATTATTCAATATTCTTGAATTTAACTTTATATATAATTCATTTTTAAAATATTTATTTTAATACTAGTGAATTTTTTAAAAGAAATTTCATATAATAGATCACTTATATAAATAAGAATTTTGTATAGAAAAATTATATTTTTAATAATTTTCACATATCAGTATAATATTTTAGATGTCTTTGATTCAATACAATATACTTAATGAAATATACTCATATTTTATAATTTGCATATTATATTATTAAGATTAAAGGATGATTGAAAAATTTTTCCAGCCCCACCACCATCTTATCAGTCATTATTTGGACAAGTTCGAGAAGCAAGAAAAAATTCCAGCAGTTTTCTAGACTTTGTTCGGAAGGTCATCATTCTAATTTTAGGCACACGTAAGTTACTTATTAATGAACTAAAATATTAAAATTCTGAAATGAATTAGATAAAAATTTATTGATTTTTTTCGGAATTTTTATCTAATGGCTTTTCTATTTTTAAATTAATTACTCAAATGTAATTTACAGCAGACTGCTCCAGTATTTTGATGACGATTTTATTTAATTCATCATTTTCAGAAATAAAGAAATAAATAATTTAGATATAAATTTTTTTATTTTTATTATTTTATTACTTATTATAAAAGGTAATAATAATAAAAATAATATATTTAGGCATCTTAATAGTGTATTATCATTCTACAATGTTGTAAATATTCTAAATTTTTTTTTAATGTAATAATGTACTATACAGGTTATATAAACTTTTTTATAATGTTTGAAATTAATTGATGGATCTAAAAAATTGTTGTTATATGTAAGTATACTTTTCTAAAAAACAAATAAATTTAAATGTTTTAAAATAGAAAAGTAACTGTTAAAATTCGTGACACAACCAGTGTCCAGCCAGCTCAATGGGTGAGGCAATGAGGCAACTGCCTTAAGCGGGAGAATGAGCAGTTAAAAATGTTTAAAAGGAGAAATAAATAAAAATAAGAAGCCAAATATAATAAAATCCTGTAAATATAATTTGAAGTTTTTTATAAATAATTCGCATAAGAGTGCCAGTGCTAAAAGTGCTCTCTATTGGCAACCATTCTGGAAGCAGGGGTAGCAAAAATCAGTTTTTCCTCAGGTACAAGTTAATATCAAACTGATATTGCAAAGAGTAGTAAAAAAAAATTGAGCCATGTATACAACCTTTTGTTTGTCTCTAAAACTGCCACTAAATCAAATATAACACTAAATTTGAGAACCTCAAACAGTAAGAATTATTAATATTTAGAACAATGTCACTCAAACTGGGTTATGTGAAGGAATTTTAGGGATTCTGCAAGATGAAATACATAATGGCAGAAAAAACTTACTGTAAATCTTAAAAATTTTTATGTATGGCATTCAATATTAATCATTTATACAGTAATAATAGTGTGCGGGCAGTTTATCGTAGATGCACTCCAGAAAGTTTTAAAATGACAAATAACTGCTATTATTTTAGTGTATTTTGATTTTTACTTTTTATGAATATCTACTAATAAAATTTATATTTTAAGTTAAAGTATTAGCAACCATTTAATATCATTCAAATGTTGAAGCAATTTTTAGAATGTTTAAATAAGAATAATTGAGGATGTACTGAAATGTAACCTACTTTTATATTATAAAGTTAAATTTGTTCCTCTCAACTCATTAAGAATGAATTATAATAAAATATATTTATTTATCAATAAAATTTGTTGTCTTTTATAATATTAGCCCTGTTCCTTCTGAAATGTGTGTGTGTATAACAATTTGAAAGTGGCAACTTTCTCTAAAATAGGTTTCCATGATAATGGCATTTTTATTTGTTTGTTCCTTAGGAGAATTTGAATACATGGAAATTTAAATTAGACTTCTGAACAAAATCAACAGCAAATTCACATTTTTAGACTTCTAAGACAATAACTTTCTTTGGCATGGAAGAAAAACAGTGATTGTGCCATTTTTAAATGTGAAATACGCATGTTTCAGAAGAATAATGGCTAATATTAAGCAGATATGATCTTAATTGTGTGTTGAAATTATAATTCATTCTTAAAAATTTTAGAAGCACTCGTTATAAGTTAAATGATGATCAAATAATCGAGAAATTTGACAAATAACAGTTATAAAAAATTATTAAAAATTTTAAGTTATTAACTATTTTTGTAACTATTATCTGTTTTTTAAAATCAATTATTTTTTTAAATTTCTGTAAAAAACTTTTTTAGCAATTTATCATGTTGATTCCAATTTTATAATTATTTCCACTTAATAATGTTGCAATTCTGACACACAAAAAAATACTGTTTTGACACACTACAGTTTATATATTGATGAATATCTGGATTGCCACCTTTTTATAAAGAATATGAACAATGTTTTAGAACTGATTATTCATTTAGAAAAATCATTGTAAAAAAACAAATCTTTCTCTTCATGTGTTATTACATCTTAAGCAGTAATTATACATGTGTCCAAAACTTAAGGATGAACACAATTGCTAGCAGTGATAGCTGAAATAAGTGATCAAGCCAATTGGTAGTAATTTGTTTAGATGTATAAATGAAGCAGATAGCAAATGCCTGTGTGAATTTTCACTGGGAAGTGGAGACATGGATGATTGCAATAGACGTAAGAAGTTTGGTGGCAGTTCTTGTCGAGAAGCAAATAGCACAAGGAACATGTAACTTCTTCTCGTGTCTCAAAGGCAATATATTGATGATTTCACATAGGGAGGGATTATCAAAAAATTGGAAGATGGGTGCAGAATCACCGACATTGCATGGGAGTTTGGAATCAAGCACGGAGTTATATTCCAGCTTTGGACAGCATTTCTAAGGACTGGAATGTGTTTTCTGCAGGGAGGTCACTGTTGCTCTACATCTGCACATAAAAACTGATATTTAATGATGATAACAAAATGCAATTGACACAGAATGGCTGGTCAGCATAAAAATTGCCTCTGTCATTAAGTGTAGGACACTTGTGTGTTTGACATTTTATGTTGTGCAAACATTAAATTGTTATGAATAATAAAATAACATTTTAGTTATCTGTATTCATTCATAGAATTAAATGAATTATATAGATAATTAGGCTACATTAATTAACATTAGAAGCATTTTTAAATATTTCTTTAAGAAATGATAAAATTTTAATATTTAAAATGTCATAATAAATATTAATCAGATTATCATCTTACAGTTGCTGTTGTATATGTGAATAATGAATAAAAGAATATTTGTTTATTTCAGTTAGCTGTACTATTATTCTTGGTGTTACAGTTGTCATTCCCTTTATTATGATTGTAATTGGTAAGTCATCCTTTACAAATATATTAAAATTAATGAAAATGCTTATATATTATAACAATTTTTACATTCATATAGGGAATGTTCAAATAAAATTAAAAATTTTCATTGGAAAGTGTAGTTATATTTTGTAATTATAATCTTAATTTTATTTTTTTAATTTTTTATGCATAGAACGTGTGTATTTTGAGAGCATACAAGCAATCTGTGTTGTCTGGTAGTCTGGGTTGCAGTATTTGAATACATAAGATGAATGGAATCGTTAGAAAAAACATGGATTAATTCAAAATACTCAAGCTGTAATTCAATTGTTGAAAGAGATCAATGGCGGTAGAAATTTATTATATGTAAGTAGTATTTAATAATACAAAAGTCACACAATTCATCTGTTTGTCTGGATATTTTTACAATAATGCTTCAGATTTTTCTAAGAAGATGCATCATTCCTCTGTATTCATATGTTTTCATACCGTCAAATTATCCTAGCAACAAATACTATAGTTAAGGCACATTGATGAGTCAAACAGTGATGTTAATATATATTATTACACTGTAATCCATAAGTTAAGAGAAGTGAATTTAGGTTCACAGGCAACTGAACATAAAATGATTCCACTTACAGCAAAGAATAATTCTGAATTATTTTTTTAATGGGGATTCTTCACTATTTTTTCATAATCCACTGCGCAACTTTCATATCTTAGTGCTTAAAAAACATCTTAAATAATAAATTGATAGCAAATTGCTTCAATTTGTTATCTAATTGGTTTACTCAGCAGTTTATAGTAGTTCTTTGATGTTACATCATTATTCATTGATAGACAAAATAAAAATTTTGCTTTCTTTGTAATTTTGTATAAACAAACAATAGACGTTGCTCCAATGTATAATTCTCAGTTTTGTTTGAACATTTCAACACTTGTAATTTTCATTATTTTACCAAATTGTCATAGTGCTTTGTTTCGGTTTTACAGTAGTTATTGAAAACATCAACTCTAAAATTTTTTCAGGTACAAGCTATTTAAAAGACTGTCCTGTGGAAGAGTTTATTCCCATATATCTCGTTGTTGGTGGAGTGTTTGGTGTTGTGAAAAATTTATTAAACTTTTGGGGTCGTTGTCGTAAGAGTACAGAAGATACAGAAGAGCAGTTAAGGCAAAAACCATATGATGCTATTCTTAATTGTTTTTTATTTGCTTGGTTTATTGCAGGTAAGTTTTCAGTAATAAATTTTTCTAAAAACATATACTTGCATATTATAATCAAGTATAATAAGTATTTTGAAAATATTAAATATTTGATTTATATAAAAACAGATACTAAATATTGTGTACAATATTTAAGTATTTTTCTTACATTTTAATGAAAACAAAATTCTGTTTGTGGTAAATTATATTGTTGATTATTATGATTGTTGTTATAACCTCATATATAGTAATAGACATTCATTTTCCATTATCATTCTTTCTTAAAAATTGAACATAAATGATAACTCGGAAATGAGTAATAGTATATTATGGTTGTTCTTATTTTAGTAACACCATATTATAAAAAGGGAGAAAATTCTTTTATCAGTACAACATCATGTATTACTATTGACAGAAGAATATTGGAATTATTACTAACTGCTGCTCAAAATTATAAGATTCACCAACAAAATTTCTGTTACTTTAAATAGATGAAAATGTTTATTAAATAATTTCTGATGTAAGATAGTATGTGTTACAGAAAAACGGTATGATGGAAATATAACTTATTTCAAAATTTAATGATAGAAAACAAAAAATGCGAAATTAAATTGTCCGTAAATATAAGACCGGTTATGAAATGACTTTAAAGATTTAAATTTTGTGGTGATTAGAATGATGTTAGTCCTTTGTTCTTTACGCATTCAATAATTTGTTTTCACATACTTTGCACCAGTTTCAAATAACTTTAAGGGATGAAATCCCATGCAGCATGCACTATTTCTTCTAGTTCAAAATCAACAAGAACTGTCTTTCATGAAAATATAAGATGACATGTAGTGCCACACCATTTTTTATAACATTCAAATCAAATGAATGTGCATGCCACTTTAAACATTTGATTCTGTAGTCACTCACCCATTTTGTCTTGGCAGTATGACACAGCATTATCCTGTTAAAACAGAAAATTTTCTTTTCTAAAATACCAGCAAAGGCTGATAACTCCATATGAAGAATGCTGATATGTTTCTAAGTTCATTGTTTTTAATACAATGACTAATCTATTTTTCTGATTGTTGAAACTGCTTTCCAAATTATGAGAACCACTTGTTTTAATGATTCATCTGGACTTTACATTGTGAACTGAGATCATGCCAATATTAGTATGTCATCTGGACCATTTAAATTAGTCTCTCTCATCAGAAAACAAAACTGTGTCCCACCTGATGCCATCTGAGAGCCACTGCTTTACAGTTTCTATGTATACTTCTCTGTGATGTGTCGATGCAGGTTTTGGCTTTAACTTTACATATGTTTGTCTTAGAGACATGGTGCACACAAGAAATGGTTTGCTGTGTGGGAGGTGCTTTACTATTATACTTGCTGATATTTTTTTGATGATTGCCAGATAAATAACTCTTCTTATGTCTCTTGTTGACAAGCTCTTACTTTTTCCTGGGCATTTACCACCTGTAAAACTCCTCAGATTTTTGAGTTTTCTTATTTTGAAGCTATCATATTCAATATGTATTTACATACTGAACATGAATAGACAAATTATAAATGTAATTTTTAATATTTTTTAAATATAATTATTAATTTAATTAATAGATTTTTAACAATTATTTAAGTTAAGTTTTTTTTTAAATTTAAATATCAGATTTTAAAACATGTTGTAAAATTTTTTAAAGTATTATTTTATTGAATTTATGTTTTTATTGAATTTGAATTTTATTGAATTGAATAAAATAAAGTATTATTTTATTGAATTTATGTTTTTAGTTTTAAATTTAAATGGTCATAGTAATTCAAACTAGTTAATCCAGTTATGAAGTTTGGAGCTTTGATATAAAAAATAATATGAAGATAATCAACAGCATTTGTTACAATAATAAAAATTGATCATTAATTTTTTTTTTCAGTATCATTTAAGGTAACCAAAAATGTTTGAAAGATTAAATTTCATTTCAATAATTTCTTTAGGTGTATGACTTGATTTTCTAATCATTTTTGTAATTTTCAAACTAATATAATTACTCTGAAGACTAATACAAAGACAATTTGAAGTTATCATGTCCATTCCAATCATAAGAAGGTTTGGGGATGGATTAATTCAATTAATTCCAGATCGGAACTTCGTTACAATAGATATTGTTTGTGGTATTCCTAGACCCCAAACAATATCTATTGTGGTAAACTACAAATATACATAATTTAAGATAAAAATAACACAATTAAATGTCCTAAATAATCAATTAAAACATGAAAACAATAAATAAAGTTCATTTTTATTATACAGTATTTATGTAAATTGCATTTACTGATTACACACTGTCAACTTTGGCATTTTAAGCATAGCTGCCACATACATATGGCTTTCGTGCTTCACAGTAAGTTCCTTTTTTGTAGTATCAAATAATTGAAGTAATCTTATTAAAGCAGAACTAAGCACTGAAAACACACAAGTATAATACGATGTTTTTACAGCAAGAGACGACTTGTGCATGTAACAGATGGCATTTACACAGCGAGCACACTGCCTGCGCAGTTAAAACATGAAAGTACAATTTGAACTCTTGATCAAATATTTCTCAATTTAGCATTCAATCTGGATCATTCAAAGTTAGAATTGCTTGAATTACAAAGTACCACTGTACTTTTTGTTATGAATAAAAAGTTCAATGATAGTTTCATGGAGAATAAAAATTCATTACAATATACAGTTTCCACTGCCAATATATTTTCTATATAACAAATTCTTTGCATTTCCTAGAGGACATTTATCTTATGGAAGTTTGACTATATATTTATTTATTCAAAAATAAAACTGACTGAACATAAATTTTTCAACCTGTGTAGGAATGAATTAAAGTAACTGCAATTCCATAATCAAGTTATTTGAATTTAATTTATAAATGTAAGAAATTTAATTGTATAGTCATATCTTAGAATATATATTTACTTGAAATACGGATTTTCTTAACAGAATTATAATTTTAGTGACATGTAACTGAGTTCCCCAAATTAATATTAACATTTTTTGTGAAGACAATGAACTTGGTAATTGAACTAATGAACTTAAAATTAAAAAAAAAAAAACAAAGCTTCTTCTTTGAAAGCTATCTTGAAACGTATTTTGAAATTCTGAAAGTTTGAATTAATATGATCATATAGTGTGTTATTGAAGGTCTAAATAATTAACAAATTTTAAATTTGCAGGTTGTGTTTGGATTTATAGAGTATATGAACCTGAGTATGAGGACACCAGCAGTTCATTCTATTGTAATAAGACACTCTATCTCTTTGCATTTTGGCTGGTTACTTCCTTTTTTATAATCCTCGGCTTAATTATCGGCTTTTTGTGTTGTCTGACCGTTTCTTCCATTCTCGGCAGTCCCGAATGAAAAATTTCTTATTTTTGCAAAACAAAATTTTATATATATTGATATATAAAAACAAGAACTTTATTTTGCTCATTTTTACAGAGCATATTAATTTGTGTTTAATAGATATCATATTTATGTTTAAAAAAAAAAATTTATTGTGAAGTGCTCTTAAGTTGTGCTACAAACTTTGAATGCGCAGTTAAGTATGTTATTTTTAACAACTATGCACACATCTTGTAATATAAAATAAAAATGATACTACATATGATATTGTATATAATATAAAATTTAAAAACCAAGAATTTTATTCTGCATACATTCAAGTGTAAAATATTTAAATGCTTTTCAAAAATTTGTTAATGAACCATAACATATTTATTTTTTGAGTTCTGCAATGTTTTATAGTTATAAATATTCTATTTTGTATACAATAAGTAAAATATGATCAAGTGTTGGCCAAAATTTATAACATTTTTCATGTAAATTCATGTTTTCGAATGTAAAAAAACAGAACGTAAACATCATTATAAATTAAACTATTAGCCAAAGTACAATTTGAATATACTAGGACATAAATGTTTTGTAATACCACTTGTTGATACTTCTTGTTGTGGGGTTTTCAAGTAATTGGCAATACAATCCATACAGTTCTTCATCTAGGAGCATCATTTTCAGTTTGGGAAGTTCATCCTTTCAATGTGGAGAACTGCAAATGTATTTTTATGTTTTAAATTATTACTTTTATGTTGTTTATAACATTGGAAAAGATTATCTTTTAGATATTAAACTAGTTGAAAGGTGAATTGCCAATTGCCAGAAAATCTCTTAGCAAGAATCAAAATTTAATTACCAGAAAAAGTATAGGATGCCAAACAGTTTGAAAACTATTAAATTATATTTTTACAATTCTTATGATTAACATAAAATAGTTAGTTAATTAAAATCTGTATAAGGATCTTTATCATTTTAAGCAATTTAATATGAAATAAAATCATGTATTATTAAAATTTCACAGCTCTAATTGGAGAGTAACAGTTGTTGATTTGAAAATGAAAGCTTTCTGAATTTACAGCATAAAATTCTAAAGTATAAATATTCATACCATATAATCTGGAAAAAATCAATATTCATCTTCCAAAATCAAATAAAAAAAGAAATATTTTTTCAATGAAGTTGAGGAATATTTTTATAGAATGTCCTTTGTCCATCAATCATAAAAAATTAAAATTGTTATAAATTTTGGGCCATCACCAATATTTATTTATAAATATGAACATTTTTTATATTAATGGATTGTTATTTCATTCAAATGATAAATAAATTTTCTATTTGTATTTAATGATTATGAAAATAATGCAGTTTGAAGTTTATATTTTGATTTTTATTTATTGAATTTACTTGATAATATACTTGTATATGCCACGTAATTGTAATTGAAGTATTCCTATTCAGTACTGTCTAGAGATGTTTAGCTGTTAAAATGCCTCCAAATTTATTAGTGATATTTTGTGATATGAGGAGGACATTTCCATAAGAAAACATTAATACCAAAACTTGTCTCTATGGCTCTTTTGGTGCTAAAAGCAATAAAAAAAGCAGTTTCATTTGTGGAGAAACTTAAAAAGCGTGGTTTAATGAAGACATGTTTCAAATTTGGAAGCCTTGAAAGACAGCATTGCATGCGAGAGGCATCACATAGGATTAGTCAGTTGTTGAACACTGTGCATTGACTTGTTTTTCACTTTTAGAATGGAAGCTGCATTGAGCAGTATCCACTGCATCAGTAAGGTCTCTATATAGCATGAGTATCGTGTACAAATGAAATGCTTGTTGCCTGCCAAAAGTCTCATAGTGATGCAGTTTGGTACTATATATTTCTTTATGGAATTTTCTTAAGTCCTAATGTGTCATATCAAATTTGGTTGCCGTTTGGACTGCTAAATATCTCTGTGGACATTGTTGAATTGGAATACTTTAATTAAGATTATTTTGTATGTAAAATGTTACAAAAATATAACATTTGAATACTAAAATTGAAGTACTTTTTCAGTATTGTAATAGATTATTTAAGTTTTTGTTTGGTAAATTTACTTATAAAATTAAAATATATTACAGGTATCCCTTGATGTTTTTTTTTATTTTGTATTTAACTTGTACTTAAAATATTAAAGTACCCATTTAGAAGAATTCAACAGTATTTTTTTTCTCCCATGTGAGCATATTCCATTGGCTAATGATGCCACTAATTTACATTCTTGTACTCTTTTTATTGTGAGCACAATATGTAGTCTTCCAAAAAGAATGCCACCATTTTAAATTATTGTAATTATGTTAATTATCATCTGAGAACGTTGTAATGTACATTTAAAACATGTCAAACATGGACAGTTTTTCCAATTTGTCCATTACAATTTCTCAATGTGTGCACCTTGCATTACACAGCACACATCCAACCAATACTCAAATTCTTTCTGTGCACACTACAGCATATTCATTGTCACTCTTCCCACAACAGCCACAGTTCTGTAGTTTCTGTAGATTATTTGTTTCACAGTGATGAGTGATTCTGGCATTGAAGGCTGCAGAACATAAAATGACTTCTCTGTTGTAGTATTGCCATTTTATTTATGGCACTTCCTAGTGGAGGTAGACAAGACTTTGGAATGCAGATGGAAGACGAAACTTGGACAGCTAGGGTATCGATTGATGTACGTCACATACTTCTTGGATAATAATTAACATAATTACAGTAATTTAAAATGGTAGCATTCATTTTGGAAGATGCTGTGTCTTAAAATAAACCAATGTAATTTTCATGTAAAACTGCTGCAGCTGATTCTTTTTCTGTTAATTTTTTAAGCATGCCTACAATTTGTATATGAAACTTTAAAATATATCTTTTTAAATGTCAATGAACATTGTTGTTTTTGTTATGTATTTGTATACCCTTAATATTTTTCGTGAAGTTTATCTTGAAATAGAAATGGGTAAAATGACATTTCATTATAAGTCAAGGGATACCTGTATTAAGATGGAATAAATGAATGTATAAAAAAAAAATAATTTTTTGTGGTCATTTTGAATATAATTTTATACGTATGATCTCTGTTGTTTGCTTAAAATTTTGAATGCGAGTGTTTATTTAATGTCAGAACTAAAATAGCATGATTTAATTACTTCCAATTTAATATGAAATTGATTTTACATTTAAACATTTAATGATAAAAGTTGTATATAAAACACTGAAGAAAACTGCCTTCATTTAATGTTCATAACTTTGATATCAAAGTGAACTTTTTCACTAACTTAATCATTTCAACTGCCATAATAGACTTTAGTAATTCTTATATTTTGAATGTATAATGTATTTTAAAAACTTTTTTAAAGAGTATATAAATAAATATAGTCAAATCTTGATAATTTTGAGTGAACAAATTCATCTTAATTCCTTTCTCTGTAATTTAACTATTCTTGTCTAATTATTTATAAAACAAAATATAAAATATTTAGTTTTAGAAATTAAAACTATATTTTCTTATACTAACCAATACTAATAGTATGAAATTTTCTTAAAATAAAAAGTAACCGAGCTGTAAAAATAATTTTTTTGTATTTTCTAAACAAATTTATAATAATTTTCTGTAGTTTTTAAACACACTTTTTTTATAATTTACATTTTATATTCATTTTTATGACTTTATTAGCATTTTGTATTAAAATTTCTTTTAATGCTTAAGCATTGTATATTTATTTAAAATTGTGGAATAATGATCTAAAGACTTTCCATAATTTTCAATTATACACTTTCGTGATATTTCATAGGTAATTTGAGTCGCGATACGATATTCTGATCAATTGTATTGCTGGTTAGAATTATAATGGATGAAATTTTTGCCACCCGTGTTGCCCATAATTGAAATTAGGCAGAATCAAATACTTTTAATAAATTGATAATTTTTAAGACTCGAACGAGAACGGTGTTCTCGAACAACCAATAAATTTTGCACGATGCTTACAATTTGCTTTATATGGCTGCGGAATAGTTAGTAATTAATGAGAATATCAAATACAAGGACCAAGAACCACTCACTTTCAAAAAGTTAGTTCTATGATAGTCTGTTCAATAATGTCAATTATTTAACATGTTCATTAGAGATTAGTTCACAACTAATTAGAGTATTAAAATTCCTTGCGTTTATATTCGAACATAAAATAGTTTGGTCTGTGTATTTGATCTATTAGTGTCGAAGATTAATGCAAATTGAATTTCTAAAAACGATGAAACATTGGTTCTCGGTTCTCAAATTGCTTGTCTTCTGTTGTTTGAGCTCATCGGGATCACATTGGCGAACTTTCAGTATTCAAAACCTACCACAAGTTCTTGGGAATGAGAGCATGTTGGAATCAAATATTTCTTAATTCTTGCACTTGAATATTTATAGCATTCAAATGCAAGAATTCATAATGTTCTCTCATGCTAACAAAATTAAACCAAACAGAATTTGTAAAGTTTATTTAAAATACGGCAAATAATTTTTTATTGCATTTATTATAATTTATCAGTAGAAGTTTTAAAATTGTCTAATTTTGAATTGCATAATAATTGCAAATTACTTTTTATGTAGGTTTGAAAAAATTTTCTTAATTTGATCTGAAAATATTTACTTCCCTGAATAAGTAAAAATATTCAAAGTTAGGTAAGTGAGTTCTGAATATTCAACAGATATTCATGTTTTTTTTCAAGACAACTCTGAACAAATTCCAAATTAATCTCACTTCCAGGTATTTTTAAAGTTATTAAAAGTTAAGCATTGGCAAAGTTTTTAAAATTTATTATGATGTTAATACATTTATTAACTAAAAATTAATGGAAAAAAAAATTTTCGGTGATTATTAATGTACAGTACAGTGTGTTTTTAATAAGTCATGACTTGCATCAAATCATGCTGCAAAACATCAGTTTTAATGTGTCCCAAGAAATGTTTGTTTATAAATCTACTAATATATTTGGATACACTGCTTATTTGTTGAACTTTAAGCATCTCCATAAAAAAAATAAGGGACTGAGATCAAGCAATCTGGAAAGCCACAATGCCTGAAAAATTACCCTTTCAGGGAATGTGTCCTTCAGGAATGTTAAGATAGTATTCCTGAAGGACTTCTCCTTCAGGAATACAAATCCTTTGGGTTGCAAGACTTATTGAACACCTGCTTTTATATTCAATGTTATATAGAATTCTCTCTCAAATAATTTAAATTTTTTCATCGGATATCATTTTGAAATTTTATTTAGTGGCTTTTCTGCATCCGTTTACAATATCTTACTTCAGTATTATTATTTTAAAATATTTATATTTAATAATTTATTTTGATTCATTTTTATAATTAAGAAGCAGTATGTAATAAGAGAATTCAAACTGATCAAATAACTTTGCATAACTCTAATAGAAGGAAGTTTTTTTGTTGATAGAACTAAACCTGATAGTAAAGAAATGGGAAAGGTTATGATGCAAAGTTCCAGATATAATAAATGGTAGATAATAGAACAAATACTGCAAAGTAATTGGTATGCATAGTTTCAGGCAGTATGTGAGCCATTATCAATGCCTTTGTTGGTGAAATGCCCTACAATAGGATCCAAAGTAGGGTTACTTAGTGCTCTCAAGCTTCTGTCAGGATGATGTAAGGAGGTAGTGGTAGCATAAACGAACATACAATTATAATTGTGTTTATTTTTAAGGGAAAAATTCTTACAATTGAAGCCAACACTTGAAATGGGTGGAAGTCCGGATGGGAGATGATGTGAGAATATAGATTGTTGATCCTATTGCTTTTGTTGATGAAATGAGATAAAGATGTTCTGGTCCTAAGGGTAGGATGCGAGTTCAGGTAATTGTCAGCTCCCTTGATTGTTGATAAAATGACACTGGGTGGTCTGACCGGAGAAGCACAGGTTTATTTGAGAAGGTAAATCTCTCTTCCTGGTCAGATTGGCAGATGTCAGTGAGGCACGATGACTCAATGATGACATGGTCATCTGCAATGGTGACGACAACCTTGGCAGTCCTTGACACGATGAACATGCTTTACAATGGTGGCAACTCACTTTGACCTCGAGGTTGGTCCTCTTTTATGTGATTCGGACTTGAAATCTATGATTTGGATTGGTCACAATCACTTTCTCCCTTTTTCTCCCATTGGTTC